CACAGTATTGGAATCCCCCATCCCTGTCAAGGAATACGTTGTGTATTTCAGAAACCAGAGAAGAATTATATAGTGTAGTAGGACACGGCAACAATATGTCATGTCATGTCTCAAAAACAAATAGTTTAAGAACCAAAAAAAAATAAATGTTACAACTAATAGAGAAAGGATTGGGCTTGCCGTGATGCTGTTCTGGAACATTCTATGTTTCCAAAAGAATGCAAGTAAATACTATAAATGCGAAACATAAGAACGCTAAAAGACGCCAGGAGAACAGTAAGTGGCTTATAAGTAAATTATACAGTAAGGCAAAGCACAGCAGAGATGATCAGACTTATCTTATTAAAGGATTTGAAGTCAGTCAGATGGCTGTATCATTACATAATTCAGTCTTAATAATCAGACTGGAAGAGTGAATAGGGACATGCTATCTATTGTTGCTGTTACCACACTGAAACTAGCTCACTGTTTGCATCACTCCTGTTTTTAGAAATGAAGAGATGTTGGAGGGCTTAGAATGTTTGTAGAGAAGGTGACATTTTGAGGAAGTGGTTTTCACTATAGCAATAGGCTGGCTTCAGATACTTGATTTAATCTCATGTTTACAAATAGCACTTTTTCAGTTTTTTTCTTCTAAATTGTCAGGAATTTAAAGAGAATTTCAAATTTAAGGCCAAAATAGCTGATTTGGCCTGTTCAACTATTTTGGCCTACAATTTGAAATTCACTTTCTATTCACTTTGAATTTCCAACAATTCTTCCTTTCCTAAATGACCCTGTGTGTGTGTGTGTAATGCTAATAAAAATGTTTAGATAATCTTGCTTTACAGTGCTGATGTTTTCACAGGACACCTCCATTGACCCACAGTTTCTTTGACAAGAGACACCTGGAGCAAGCTGTTTATCTGTCAACACTATGCAAGGCATGTCCTGAGTCACACCATGGTGTAAGAGATAGCATTCCACCCTTCTGAGGCTAGATCACCATTGGAGTGCATTACAGTCATAATGGGTGGCATAGTTGGAGGGAGATATATTCTGATGGGTTCAATTTATTGCTGGTGTTACTGAGGTGCAGATGACATGCAGTCTCACTAGTTGCATTATAATCCACATTGCACAATGATTTTTTATTTATTTTTTTAAACGTACATGGCTGTGAAATTCACCAGGGGCATCAGACATCTATTTTTTCCCTATATGTACAAAACTAAAAATGTAAACAGCTATTGCTGTCTTACTTTATAAAAGGGACAATTTAAGAAGAATCTCTCATTAAAAGCAATTGTGTAAGTTCTCGTAGAGAAGTATTGGTTTCAATGCTTCTCTCTAAAAAGATCTCAGATCACAGGGGTTGCCACACAAATGTGGCCTGCCTCCAATGCTTCTCAATGATAGTGAAAGCGCAGAGGGGAGATGAGGCAAGAAGACAGTCTTGCCACTTAATTACAGGTAAGTAATAGCCTTTTGTTTTATTTGTAAAAGAACAAGGGGACAGGAAACCTAAATGAACCATAGAACACTTCAGAATTATAAATAAATGTATTTTTTTTTTAAATACTTCAGAGTGCAAAAGATAATAGAATTTCCTGTTGACTCAACTCAGTAGGACCTGTCTGAGTGGGTGTTATCATATTTATCTGGTGAGAGTCAGAGTGAAGCCACAACTCACCTCTCAAGAATCACTCTCCAGCGGAACAAAACTGAGTCACTTTTTTCTGCAGCGTAGAAAATAAAAATGCAACTATACATTGCAACGATACTGACTGTATTTACTGTATGTTTTAGCCATGTATTGTATTTATTGTATGTTCTATCCATCTATGTATGACCTTTATGCCCACATACATTCAGGATATTTGTGTTCTACAACCATATTTAATTTGCAGACTGCCTATTGTGCTAAAATGTGGTTCAAATCAATAATCACGTTGTTTCTCTGACAAGATTAACATCACGTCAATTTATTACACCAATATGTCTCAATTACAACAGCTCGGTACAAAGTAGTCACTACAATGCGATTAATATACAGAACCATCATAAAATACAGTATTCCAGATTATGAGTTATCCTAAAGTGGACACTCAGGACCAACGGGTTAGACAGGGTCCTAGATACCAAAAACATATTTGGCCTATCAAAATCCCTATGCTAAGAGTGAGGGAGGGCCCAAACTAGTAACCTGCCCTGGTTAATATTCAGAAGGATATTAATTCTTTACTGCCACCGGTACTATCAAAACATGTTGGCGACAGAGCCCCAAATTTTGAGTTTCTTTTATGCAAAAGGCCAACAAAATCTTCTGACAAATTACTGTGCATGTCTGTGAGGAGGACAATCTTCTGGTTGAAATTCTGCATCGGCCATGGAAGTCCAATTTTGACATTTATTTTAGCAAGGTGGCTTGAACAATTTTGCTCTGTATCACTCCAAGTACCATAATCACTACATCGATTGAATGTGTGTAATGAAACGCCTTTTCAAATCATTGAAGCTTTTCTCATACTTAATAACCAATCGTTCTTGGTACTTCGGCAAATAGTAAAATGGTGGTGTGATAACTGAACAATTCCCACTATCAAATATATAATAAATAGACAAAAGAAACAAGAGGGGGCATACAGTCCTTTGCAAATACTAATTTTTTAAAAAATGTGCATAGAAATAAAACATATTGCAAAACACTTATCTGAGGTCCCAATACTTAAACACCAAGAGTGGACTTTACTTTGGAGGTCAAAGCAACATCTCCCACAGAATCTGCCAAGGGATATTTTGGTATCCTGTTCCCAGTGAGTGCAATATGTTTTATACTTAGATCATTTTGTTTTACTATTAATAATACTAAAGTTCAAAGTGAATTTCAAATGTAAGGTCAAAACAGCCAAACTGGAACAATTCTCTAAGTTAGCTACGATTTCAGTCCAGATACTCTGTTCCTAAATATGAAATTCACCTCTAATTCAATTCAATTTAAATTCTCATTTTAGTAAATAACCCAGTTCCTTTCCTTTGTAGACTTATCTATGTTTTGCAGATTTTATGCATGATTGATTGAATTTCCATTCTTACTATAGAGGGTTAGAAGGTTACCCTCTGCTAGGCCGATGCCCATCCACCTTTTTATTTTTAGCGCTAACCTCCTTTTATTTTTACATGATTTATTGAATTTTGTGGTGAAATAATTGGTAATAGTGTCTTTTCATTTTAAGTTTGGCACACTCCTAACGAGTAGGTGGTAGATCTTAAAATTCTATTTTGTTATCTCACTTATGTTCCATGCCAAACACTCTGATGTGGGTTTTTCTTTCATTCCAACGGTTTGTATTTGCACCTGGATGATGTCCTCCCTCTGAGTTTGGAAGCATTTCTCCTGCCATTGTGCAGTTGCTGAGATGACATAATTCCCTGTTGATGAGAAGAATTTTCTTCAGAAGATTTTTCCATCAGCCAACTTCTTAATCAAATCATCCAAAGCTTACTATAGTAAAATTCCTTCTTCACGAGGGGGATTGCAAAAGCTATTTTTGGAGGTTGCGCTGGCAGACAAAGACATCCCATATTGCTGTCCTTGCCACCACCTTGCCATCATTGACAGGATGTTAGTACTAAACTCACAGAGAGCAGTAAGGCTTACAGTAAGTGTTGTGTAGAAAATATTCATATGTTCTTATGTTTTGCAATAACTCCCTGGGTCCCATGAAATCTTTATCACAAGGTTCTTTAGCCTCCTGTAACAAAGGCTGCAGATAGAATAGACTTGCTTTGATTAGATTATGTCATTTTTCTTTTTTAACTCTTCTGTTCATTGGATCTAGAGTATAAATAGTATTATTAATCACATATACATACAACATCAATATTTCTGTGCAACACATTACAATTACGCAGTGGGATTTTTAACAAGTAACCGACAGACAAAAATACAGTTGACAAACGCAAGTGGGGAATAGACTTCTGCTCAAACAAGCAAACAATATAGTAGCATCTCCAAGTTTGCAAATGTAGAAAAGCAGATAACTTATTTAAACACACATGAAACATCTAGAATTTTGTAATATGGCCATTTATTCAATAGATTTATGTATGCATTGTCCAAACACGAACTGTGATTTTTATGCAGTGAATTTTAAAAGTCTGGTGTGTCATATGCTTGAAAAGACCACCAATTTGTATTCGCTACATTTGCAGAGTAGAGCAGTGAAACTTGCCCTTATTTTTTCCAGGGATAGTCAGAGATATTTTGCGGCCTTGGTCAAAAGATGGCGTCTTTGTCCTTCTAACTAAATCTGTATTTCCTGAAGCCACAGCCAGAAAAAGTAACCCCACTTACATTTCATTGCAACAAAATAAAAACTTCCTTCTGCCCCATACTGATCTTTCAGTTCGACAGCTGAAATCTCACTTTCACTGCACTAGAATTCATATAAGACACAGTCCCTATTTCATCTCCCCATAATCATATTTTCTCAATGTTTCTCCAACAATGCTTTATTTTACCCTGGGATCCTCCCACTCATTCTGCTGCACTAACCTCATATGATGCTGCTGCTTATATTTATTTTTTATTTTTCATGTATTTAGTTAATTTGTCTTTGCGAATGAATGTACACAGTACTGACTTTGAATGCCCCAGTTTAAACTGTTTCTAATAATTCTGATTTATCAGTATTACTGTATATGTTTCACCAATCCCGCTTGCCTTTTATTATGGGTCACACAAGCCAGCTGAACTGTGTGAATGTAAAATGTGAATCAAATGTTGTTGAACTGTCACTTCCTATGAACTCTCTTTAATGCTTTCACCAGGGGTATAAATAAGTGAGACTGTACACTGTGCATCATAGATTGCAGGAAAGTTTCATTCCCCAGGACTATGAGTATATAATCGTTCCTTCATAGTGCTTTTATCTAACCCATAATGACAGCCCAGCCTCTCCATGTGTATAAACACTTCCCTTCTTCAAGGACCTCCCCCCTTCTTGGTCTAGCCCTATAGCAGATCTCTGTGTGAAGGGCTGGCCTATGGGAGGGACATCTTCATCATTGCATTCCTTGGGTGCCCCTGCCTAGGCAGCAATAAGGAGGGGAGAGTCACACATGGCAGGCTGAGGTCAGCTGTCCTGACACATACAAACAGGCTTACACTGGATGAACACAGCAGCATGCTGATGCCAGTCTGTGAGCCAGCTCTGTTCTTCACACATTGAGAGGGGGGACTCTACATGTCTTCTGGGACAATGAGGGACAGCAAAGCCAGCACTTGGAGGGGAGGCAAAGGTAAGAGGGGGTGATGCTCAGTAATATATGTCTATGTTTGTTTTTGTGTGTGTATTGACATTGTTTGCTGCACCCATTGCCATGCCTTGCTCTGTTACAATGTAACCAGTAATACTGTCTCTGTCTGTGTGTACACTACGAATGTTTACTAAACATCTCTCTAGCCACTTCCTATGGGAAGGTTCCCGTGCCATCCTCAGCTCTGCCAGCTCTTGGCAGCCGGTGGTCTATTTCCCTCCCTGTCTTCCTGGCTGTTGTCACCCTCCTTGCTGTGTGAGGGTCTCCCAGGCTGTGGAGGATACACTGTGTTCGGAGATGGAGTGTGGGTGACAATGTGTCCAGGCTGTCTTTATGGGGATTGGATGTAAACACAGAGAGAAGCCGCCCAGATCCCTGTGTGTGTGTGCTGTCTCGCTCATACTTAATGGAGAGCGATCTGTGGCTCCAGCAGGGTAAGATGTACAAAGTTACATACCGTTTGGAGGGAAGCGCAGTATACCGAGTGCTCTTAGAGGCAAGTACCTCGATACACGGTATACATAGAGCCTAGAGCACTGACTAAAGGATGTTTACATTTATACTGAGGAAGGATGCACATTATAGTAATCACTGGTGTTCACAGGTTGGTGCGATTGTCCACCACTTGCATTAGAGATTCCCAGTTCTCTCTCTCTCTCTTTTTATAAGTTGCCAAGATATCAGAGTATTGCAGTATGCAATGATACCTTTTTTTATTGGACTAACATAATATTTCAAAGACAAGCTTTCGAGAGTTTTCGTTCTTCCTCAGGTCGAAAGCAATGCCAAGGAAGAGAGGAAAGCTTGTTTTTGAAATATTATGTTAGTCCAATAAAAAAATGTATAATTGCATACTGCAATGCTCTGCTATTTTGGCATATATACACTGTATTTATAAATAAATACACACACACACCTTAATAAATATGGTGTAGAATGGATTAGCCATATTAGTACACACACACACACACACAGCCTTTTTTACAGCGCTATGGAATCTGTTGGCGCTATATTAAAAAATAATAATATATATATGTGTGTGTGTGTCTGTGTATATAGATATTGTTGCATTACTTAATATATTATATATATATATATATATATATGTATATATATGCAATCTCAAGGGGTACTGCTTTCATTATCACCTTAAAATTCTTTGCCGCGGTGCACTTCCAGCCTTCAAATATCATACATCATACATATATAGAAGAGTGTCTTCAGAAACCTTATGTGCCATTATTTCCCCTTAATACACGTTTCTGTGTTATTCATCTTTTATATTAAATGATTTTAGGGATTGTGTTTTTGTCCTTTTTAACCAAAACATACGACCCCCCCTCCCCCCCCCCGACTGAGATTAATGTGAGTTACACTCTTATTATTATTATTATTATTATTATTATTATGCCATTTATATAGCGCCATCAAATTCCGCAGCAGTTTACAATGGGTGGACGAACAGACAAGTAGTTGTAACCAGACAAGTTGGACACACAGGAACAGAGGGGTTGAGGGCCCTGCTCAATGAGCTTACATGCTAGACATAGGCGTACGCAGCTTATTGCATTAGGGTGTGCACCCTAAAGCACAAGCACACGCCGCAAATATATATGTATGTATGTATGTATATGTATGTGTATGTGTATATATATATATATATATATATACACACATACACACACTGCTGTGTGTGTGTGTGCTGTGTGAGGGTGCTGTTAGTGTGATGTGTGTGTGTGACGGTGCTGGTAGTGTGCTATGTGGGTGAGGGTGTTTGTGTGTGCGTGCTTGTGAGGATGCTGCTAATGTACTGTGTGTGAGGCTGCTGTTTGTGTGTGTGTGTGCGCTTGTGAGGGTGCTGTTAATGTACTGTGTGTGAGGGTGCTGTTTGTGTGTGAGGGTACTGGTAGTGTGCTGTGTGTGTGTGTTTGTTAGGGTCCTGTTTGTGTTTGTGAGGGTACTGTTAGTGTGCTGTGTGTATGTGAGGGTGCTGTTTGTGTGCTGCTGTGCAAGGGTGCTGTGTGTGTTTGTGAGGGTGCTGTATGTGTGTGTGGGTGCTGTATGTGTGTTGGTGCTGTATGTCTGTGGGTGCTGTATGTCTGTGGGTGCTGTATGTCTGTGGGTGCTGTATGTCTGTGGGTGCTGTCTGTGGGTGCTGTGTATGTCTGTGGGTGCTGTGTATGTCTGTGGGTGCTGTATGTCTGTAGGTGTTGTATGTCTGTGTGCTGTATGTGTGGAGGTGGGGGTGCATTACTTGCTATCCCCCCTCCCTTCTTACCTTTTGTAGGGAGGGGGGATCGTGCTGCTGATTCCATCCCTGGTGGTCCAGTGGAGAGTGAACTCTAGCCCCTGTGGGGCTAGAGTTCACTCTCGCGAGATTTGAGCGTTGCCGTGGCAACGCTCATATCTCGCGAGAGGAACCCGGCGGAGCTGCCGGCAATAGCTCCGCCGGGTCCTCTCCTGCCTCCCTCCCTGCATGTGGGTCAGTGGGGAGGGAGGCTGAGAGCAGAGCCGGCGCTCGGATAGCGCCGGCTCTGCATGAGCCGACAGGGGAGATCCTGAGATCTCCCCTGCCGGTCTCAATATACATAGGCATCCTGCGGGGTTTAGGGTGTGCCCAGGCACACCCCGTGCCCACGCCTACGATGCTAGAGCATGGGTCGTCAACCTGTTCCCTACCGCCCACTAGTGGGCGTTTCAGAATTCCAGGTGGGCGGTAGGGATTTCCTCATTTGGAGAGATTGGGTGAGCAGGCAGGCGCGAGCCGGGCGGTACCCCTGCGACCGGGTACCGCCATCACCATTTGCGGCCCCGGGGGCAAACCTCCGGGGCCGCCGTCCAAGGGGTCCATCGGGTGGCCCATGCTGTCAGGGCCACCCGATGGATGTGGATTGTGAGGGGGCCCGGTCAGCGATGGGCGCTTTAACAGCGCGACCGGGCCCCCTGTGATTACATCACAGAGCTGGGAGGAAGTGACTGCACGTCACTCTTCCCAGCTAAAACTGAGAGCCGCGCGGGAGGAAGACCAGGGAGTCAGAGTAGGAACTCTGACTCCCATCCACCTGAGCCACCACTGGACCCCAGGGAAAGTCACCCTCCTGCACTTAAAGGAAGGAAACAGGAAGGTGACTTAAATATAATGTGTGTGTTTGTTTGTTTGTGTGTGTCTTTGTATGTATGTCTTGTGTGTGTGTCTTTGTATGTATGTCTTGTGTGTGTCTGTATGTGTGTGTATGTGTCTTTATATGTATGTGTGTCTTATGTATGTGTCTTTGTATGTATGTCTTGTGTGTCTTGTCTTTGTATGTATGTGTTGTGTGTGTATGTGTGTCTTATGTATGTGTCTGTATGTGTGTCTTGTGTCTGTGTGTATGTGTGTGTGTCTTTGTATGTCTGTCTTATGTGTGTGTCTGTGTGTATGTTTGTATGTATGTGTTGTGTGTGTGTGTATGTGTGCCTGTCTGTTTGTATGTATGTGTCGTATATGTGTCTGTCTGTGTGTCTGTCTGTATGTATGTGTGTGCCTGTCTGTTTGTATGTATGTGTCATTGCATGTGTGTCTTGTGTGTGTCTTGTATGTGTGTCTGTCTGTTATAGTTGGCTATAGTAAGTGGGCTACCTAGCTCAGCCTTCCTACTGGTCATTGCTATAAGTAAGGTTAAAAAATAGAAAAAAGGAAAACAAAAAGGTGGGGAGGGGAATTGAGGAGAAAGAGGAGGGGAGCTGATGCACAGATGAGAAATCATATTATGCGCAAACAGAGAAGTCGTCTGAATATCACCGAAAGAGGAGACCTTCGTTTGTTCCTTACGAAAATCGATCCAGATATCAAATATTTAGTCTTGCAGCATCAACCTCAAGGATCTCATTAATCACTAGTAAAGGTAATTTCAATTTACTTTATTGTTTTCTCATGAAACTTTATAAAGTTAAAAACATTATAAACATGCATTATGTAGAAATAAAAAGATAAATGTACGTACATTTATTTATTTTTAAAACTCCCTCCTTTTTAAAAAATATTCTGCACTTGCGTGAAAACTGGTGGGCGGTAAGGAAATTTTTCCATCAAGAAAGATGCATTAGTGGGTGGTAGGAAGAAAAAGGTTGACTACCACTGTGCTAGTGGCAGTGGGGTAAAATGACACAAAGAGGTAAGGATAGTGTTAGACTAGTGACAGTTGCAGAAGAGGAGTCAGTCGGGAGCTATTAACAGTTTAATTGATACGCTTTTATGAAGAAGTGGGTTTTTAACGATTTTTTGAAGGAGAGGAGACTGGGTGAGCATCTAATGGAGGAGGGAAGCGAGTTCCACAGGAACGGTGCAGCCCTCAAGAAATCTTGAAGGCGATCTTAGATGGTAGCTACTGTTTGCGATCTTAGATGGTAGCTACTATTTGCAGCTGCTGTAATTAATTCAGCCATTATTCAAGTTTGTCCTAGGCTTTCTTTAAATTAGGGGCCATAAAGTTTAACTGAACATTATGTGAGGTGTGATTTGTCGTTTGAAATAACAGACAGATCATGTAATTAAAGGGAAACTCCAGATTGCAAAATTTAGATTTTTGTTAAATCTTACCTTTCATTAGCTGCAGAACTGACTCCTTTTGATTATTCACTCCTTTTTTCACCATCTTCATTTTTCTCATTATTGAGTATTGTCCAAACAAATGCTTGTCACAGGATAGAATTGAGGACAAAATTGCACAAGCACAACAGTCAGCCAATCTGATTCCTTTGGAATCTTTATTTAAGCATCCGGTAAAACTCACCATGTTCTCTAAATGAAGCAGGCACAAAATAAAAAGGTAAATTGGCACCAATCATAGACAATAAATTGCAGGTGGAGGGATTTTGCAATATAACTTTGCTGCTTAGAGCAGGGCTCGACAAATCCAAGACACTACGTCGCCCTGGTGCCTAGGTATTTGAGGTGGCGACTAGGAATTTTGTCCTGGCGCCTAGGTATTTGGGCTGGTGAGGGAGCTGTAATCTTTGAGCTCTTCTGTCTCTGCTCCCTTGCGCGAGCTGCTGTGATGCCAGGAGCGGGGATATGATGTCACTCCGCCCCAGCATCACCAAACAGTGCGTGAGGGAGCAGAGCAAGAAGAGTTTGAAGATTACAGCAGCCCCATTGGACCCCAGGGAAAGGACCCACTCCAGCTCCCCCAAAGGCATTTTCTCTGAAATGGCAGTGATTACATTGACGAGCCTGCAGGGACAGGCTATAGAGTTAGACACCAGAACAACTACATCAAGCTGTAGTGGTTCTGGTGTCTATAGTGTCCTTTTAAGAATTTTATTTTTGACATTGAAAATAAAGCTTTGTTATTTTTTTTTTTATTTTTTTTAAATGGCTCCTAACATTTTTAACTGGCTCCTAGATTCCAAGCAAATGTATCAAGCCCTGATTTAGAAGAACCCTTTATATATGAACAAACACACTGTAGTTTGTTAGGACCACATTATTTCAGTGAGACAGAATAAGCGCACTGCGCAATCTTTGTAGTAGGGCATTTTGGAATTTTAAAGAAATTTTCTGAAATTGTTCTATATTGGGAAGGAAATGGTGAAAAGGTATATGTGAATTAATTATGTATATAATTAATTGGCCACCACATAATATAGATTTAGAAGGAAAAAAAAATCACTCAAAAAAATACCACTTGCACGAGCATTATTTTAAAGGAACACTACCACCCCAATCACAAATTCAACTAATTGAAGTTCTTATGGGGGCAGGAGTGTCCGGGCTCCATCTTACTTTCAGAGGTTGAACCATTTTGTGTACTTTTTCTCTTAAATGGTGGCCAATGATTGGTTGAGATGGTTTAGCTGACACTCCTGTCTTATGAACGACCAGCCAGCTAAACGTTCCTCATATTGTGGCACATAAAGGACACAAACTTCATGGTTACATCATTACAAAACCATTTATCTCCTGAAGGTGAGGTATCACCCAAACACTCCTGCTCTGGAAAAACTTCAATGAGCTGAAGTTGTTATGGGGGTGGAATTGTTCCTTTAATTACATTTCTTTAGTCTCTTAGTTGACTAAAGTTTAACGGATAATGAAGTTCTGTCATGGCTCATCACTAAACCCTTTGTTGGGAGCCGTTTTGCAATATTTCAGCCAAGATAACTTTAGGAAAGAAAGATTGTACGTCATCAGAGCTGTAGTTTTGCAACTAAATTCTCGTCTCGCTCAACACACTAACTGGGTACAGGTGGTCCTCGTTTTATGACCTACCTGCTTTACGACGGCTCTCACTTATGACCAGCTCTCTCGCGGGGTGGTAAGTGCGAGCTGTCGTGGGAATTAGAGGGATTCCCTGTTCTGCTGCATTCTTTTATGTTCATGGATATTTCCCCGAACATAGAAGAACGCAAAAGAGCAGGGAATCCCTTAACTCCTCACTTACCGACCAATTCGTTCCACGACCGAGTCGTAGAAACGGAACCCAGTCGGTAAGTGAGGAGTGTCTGTAATTCACTACAGTGAGAATTTGTGGTGAATTCTAAGTTAATTTCAAATTTAAAGCCAGTTTATGGCTGACTTAAAGAAGGTTACCAGTTTGGCTAAATTTGGAAATTTCACTGTGGATTCTCCCTTTAGAGAATAACCCTGTTAATTCTCAGCTTCCTGTTTATTGAATAACATTTATTTCTTGCAACATTTGTCTTTAAAAGTGCCCAGGACAAGAGCCCTGCGTGAGAAATGCAAAGTAACAATTACACGGCACTGATTGTCTAAAGCTTTTGATTACTAGTGTCTGTTTTGTCAAGCCAATGCAGTAAAACAGACAGATTTTACAACCAACTTCCTTAGCCTTTATTATCTGAGTAATTCCCTGTAGCTTGACATTATCTCTTCACTAGACTGCCATGTCTTCCTAAATTGCTGTAGTTTAGGGTATTTACCTCTTTAATTACCAGAAAGAAGCCCTCTGTCATTCTTATGGTTAAATCCCTAACTACCAAATTGTGTTGTTTTTTTTAATTATTTTTTAAACATAGCATTACATTTATTCAATACTTGCGATACCTTCAAGTTTATTAAATCAGGACACTGAATTAAAATTAGGGTTAAATAAATGAGAAATTATAATTTTGTGTTATTTATTTGTTATTTTTTTTTTTTATAATCTTTATTTTATTGTGCAAAGAAAAAGTTGTTACAAAACAGATAAAACAGTAGCCACATCGGCTTAACAAATATCGTTGCAAAATTCACAGGCTTTAGTATTTGCGCATTTTTTCCCTTTGTCCCATTTGTAACATTGTGTAACTTGACAGGGTAGTATTCTAGTGAATCCAGGTAAAGAGCATATTACCGACATTGGTCGGGGGGTATGGGTTCGGCTCGTAGGGTTGTACCTTTCGATGTGGTAGAGCCAGGACGGAGAGGAGGGGGGGTGGGATGAAGGTCGTGCAGGTAATATATGGGTCGGGTGAGGGTGGCATTTAGGTATCTCTAACGCTCTAGGTAGGTCAACCATGGCTGCCAGGTTAGAATGTATGTGTTGTAGTGGTTCGAGTATGAGGCGTTTAATTCTTCCATGGTCCGTATGAATTCCACCTTCTGTATCCACTCACGTACTGATGGGACCCCAGTGCTTTTCCACTTAAGTGGTATCAGCATGTTCGCTGCTGTCAGCATATGGTTTATGAGTTTGCGTAGGTGGCTTGGCATGTGGGTGGTGTGCATGAGGAATAAGAAGGTTTCGGGGGAGTGTGATACTCGGTAACCCGTGATAGATGTTATTAGGCTTCTTAGTCTCTGCCAATAGGTTTGAATAGGCGGGCATAGCCACCAAATGTGTGCCGTGGTTCCTTTGGTTTGCCCGCATCTCCAACATATATCAGGTACTGTTGGGAAGAGTGCATGGATCTTGGTAGGTGAGTAATGCCACCTGGATATCCTTTTGTACGTGCTTTCCCTTACTGCTGTGCTGACAGATGATTTATGTGTGTGCGTGAAGATCCTATGCCATGTTTCCTGAGGAATAGTGATATTTAGCTCACCTTCCCATGCTGACGTGAACGCCGGCAATAGGGTGTGACTTGAAGTGCTTAGGAGTCTGTAGAAAATGGACAGGTGTTTGGTTTGAAGGCTGTGTGTGGTGCAGTAGGTCTCAAAGGTGGTGTGTGCCCTTGTTCCTCGAATGAAATGTGGATCCCCCTTCAAGAAGTGGGACAGTTGGGCGTATCGGAAGTGTTGTTTGGTAGTAGGGTGGTCTGTTGTGGCCAGTATAGACAGTGGAGCCACTCCCGTTGGGGTCATAACTGTACTAACCATCGGGTATCTCGTCTTTTGGACCAATGGAAATTGGGAGAAGAAGTGTGGGCATGTGCCCGGTAGGAACTTTGGATTGTGTGCCAAGGGATATAGCGGTGAGGGGTGTGGTGAGACGTCTTTCTGGGGCCTAATGCGCGACCATTGGCGTAGTGTGGGTATGATCGTTGGGTGTTGTGAGTGTTGAGGCAGGAGGAGTGTGTGTCCCTTGTCATGCCATGGGATTGTGCATAGAGGGGATTGGAACATTGAGCTTTCTATATATGCCCATTGCTTCAGCGTGGGCTCTGCGGTCCACTCGTATATTCTGGTTAGTATACTCGCTTGATAGTAGCGTTCCATGTGAGGTAGGCCTAGGCCCCCCCTTCCCCTATGTCTGGTCAGAATCGTGTACGCTATTCTCGGGCGTTTAGTCGCCCATATGAAGGTTGTGAATATTTGTTTAAGCTTGGAGAAAAAGGAGGGGGGGATCGCAATGGGGAGTGTTTGTAGGAGATATAACACCTTTGGCAATGTATTCATCTTCAATATATTGATCCTACATAGCCAGCTAAAGACGGGTTTATTTGTTATCTTTTGCAGAATAGTGTGCATATAGGGAAGGGTGGGGGAAACAGCTTTTCTCACATTGACCATTTATTTTGTAATGTTTATTTAACACAAATATCCTGATCAGTGGCGTACATACGATCCATGGGGCCCCAGTGCGAAAACCGATCCATGGCCCCACCACGTCCCTCTCCCCTCCACCCTCCGTATGGGCCAGGGCCACAGCACATGGAGGCAGGCACCCGGTCTCAGGGGACCGCATGGCAGCCCGGGCCCCCTGGAGTGACGGGCCTGGTCGCAGCTGCGACCCCTGTATGTATGCCACTGACTCAGATAATCCATGTTTGTAATGAACTTAATGGCATTTTGGGTATGCTGCTTCCTTAAATGCATCCATGATGACTATATATAGAGGAAAATGTATTCATATTTACCGTAATTTTCTTTTCCTGGCTATTATTCATGGCAGCATATATATATGGGTTAGCTTGGCCCCTTACAGCCGATAGGACAGGAATAAAACAAATGCCTTTAAAAGGTGTATCCCTGCATAGATCCCTCAGTCAGTAACAAGCTCCTACAGAAGAAGTAAAACCAACACTGGGTGGGTAGTAAATGCTGCCAGGAATAATAGCCAGGAAAAGAAAATTACGGTAAGTATCTCTAGAATGTAAGCTCATTGAGTAGGGCCCTCCACCTCTCTGTTCCTGTATGTCCAATTGTCTGGTTAAAATTATATGTCTGTTAGTCCACCCAATGTACAGTGCCACGGAATGTGATGGCGCTATATAAATAATAAAATAATAATAATAACAAATTTTCCTCTTTTCTGGCTAATCATGGCAGCATATACATTTGGGAATACCCAAGCTTACCAGAGAGGGACAGAAACATACATAACTGCCAATCAAAGAATCAGAACAATTTAACATAGATTAGAAGATTGGACTGAGTTAAGGACGTGGCATCCAAATTTCTCCTTTATTTGCTTAAACGTCCAGTATGTAATGCTGGACAAACAAGTTCAAAGGGGTCCAAATGCCAACTTTAGAAAGTTTCAGCAGAGGCCATTGCCATGGAAACCCACATTGCTGCAACTGCACGAGTGAAGAGTACCCCGAAATCCTTTGGTAGAGGTAGAGAATGGCATTGATACGCTTTCACCTTAGGCAGGATCTCTGGTGCTAAATACAAGACAACCATATCCAGTTGAAATTCAGTGAAAGGGGGTATACAGGATCAAGCCTGGAGTTCACACATTTTCCTTGCTGAGGTACAAGCCACCAGCAACAGCACCTTCTGGGTTAACATCATGGAAGCTACTGCTAGAGGTTCAAATGAGTCAGAGCCTGTAAGACCAGTGGTAGGTCACATATTGTCTTTAACACCCTCAGTGCAGGCTTGAATTTAATCTCTACTTACATGAAGCAAAGCACCAGGGGCTCCAATACTCAGTGGGTACCTTTCGGTACAGGTAGAGAATGGCATCGATAAACATTCACCTTAGGCAGGATCTCTGGTGCTAAATGGTAGACAGCCATATCCTGAAAGTAATGAGGAGGAAAAACATACATGTCCATAAGTAAAGGAGCAAAATGCTCACATCCTAAGGGCTGTAGGACAGGAAAAAGACTGAGGGACCTATGGAGGGATACACCTTTTAAAGGCATTTGTTTTATTCCTGTTCTATCGGCTGTAAGAGGAGGAGCTAACCCATGTGTATATGCTGCCATGATTAGCCAGGACATATACATAAATAAATAAATATATATTGGTAAATAATAGCTGTAGGTAGACTTTATACGCAAATACAAAAGTTCAGTTGTCTAGCTAAACGCATACAACTATATTATACAGGGCTGTAAGGAATTATGACCTTCTTACTCGGTTAATTCTTTGGGGAATGTGGACAAATGTAACACACAGACAAGTGTATATAAAATAATACCTATATATTAATATTGATTAAATTATATTGTTACTGTTAATCAAGCATGACAAACACATTAACAGAGCACCAACCCATCAGCATCTGAAACAGAATTACAGATATTTATATATTAAACTCATGCTGCATATGCATAGCTTTCCTTTTTTTTTCCGATATGGTCTGGCTCTGTTTGAACCCCTGGTCACCCCTTAAACTCTAAAAAGTATTTCTATATCAATGTTGGGTTTTTAACGACCGTGGCTAAGGAGAAGTTAAAAGGACACTGTAAGCACCAAAATAACCTTTATTATTTAAGTGGTTTCTGTGATTAGATCATGTGCGTGCAGATTCACAGCTCGATTCTCTAAGTTAAATCACTTTGTTTATGCAGTTCTAGCCACAGTTCCACTGGCTGAGACTCACACGCCTCCCTATTCAATTCCCTTATTGCAAAGTGTGTTTAATTTAGAATTTTTAACCTACTACTCATTTAATTGCCTGCTATAGTATGCAACAGCCTTCTGCATGTGATTAAGTAAAGCTGGAGAGGAGAACTTCTTCTAAAGTACTAAAGTAAAACACACTGTGCTGTAAGCTCTGATCGAAAATGAAACCATTTTTTTCATAGAAATGTGTGTGAGTCACACCAGTGGAGGTGTGATTTAACTCCTAAATGACAGAGAATTAAAGGAACACTATAATGTCAGGAATACAAACATGTATTCCTGAAACTATAGTTTTAAAATGACATTTTAGTCAACTAGCCCCTCTCTACCTTAATAAGGCATTTTCTTACCTTTTTTTCCTGCTCTGAGCCGTCTTCCCTGCAGCTCAACCCATCTCCGTGACTGCAAACTCAACGCTTTAACCATATGAAAACATTTGGAGGCTATTGCACATGCGTAGTAAAATGCTGCGCTGCGCCAAACAGCATCTCCTCATAGAAATGCATTGAAAAAAATGCATCTTTATGAGGAATGTTCAACATCTGCATGCACGCCGTGCAGCACTGACCCTGGAAGCACCTCTAGTAGCCATATGAGAGACTGTCAGGAGAGGTGTTACTAGGCAGTAATGTAAACATTGCCTTTTCTCTGAAAAAGCTCTGTACACTAAAACTACTTTGTTAAGCTAAATTTCTTAGAGTGTTCCTTCAATTAAATGCTGACACCTGGTCCTTTGAAGTTTATTTACTCACATGTTTTTATATTGCCTTCAATGAGTCCCTACTATTTTCTCACGTTAACTGTTAACAAGAAGGCTCTAGATTTCCCACATATCCTAAATTTAAGGGCCTTGGGACCTGTAATTTAGCATATCTTAATTAACTCTGAAACTATTTACTCTAAGTTTCCAAAAAAAGCTCTTAATTGTAGAGAGGACAACGAAGGGACTTTGAAATGCAATATTAAAGGGATACTATGTACAGCTTAATGTAGTGGTTCTGGTGTCTATAGACTGTCCCTGCAGGCTTTTCAATGAGACGAATATCCAGTTTAATTTTTGGCTACAACTATCTACTGGTCATTAATAATAACAGCAATTTAAGGCTGATTTTTAATGACAACTTTGATAATGACCCCTCGGTTGGCCTGGAAAGGGGGAGGGTTTGTCCAAACACAAAATGTTTAGCGACACTATAGTCACCAGAACAACTACAAGCAATTCTGTAGCCTATCCCTGCAGGCTTTTTATTATAAGCACTGCCTTTACAGAGAAACGGTGGTGTTTACATTGCTCCTTAGTGACACCTCCAGTGGCAGTCACTCAGAGAGCCACTATAGGTGCTTCCTGGGGCAGTGCTGCACGCCTGCACCCTGTGCGTCTCCATACTTTGCATTGAGGAGCTGAACTTTCCCCATAAAGCTGCAACGATTCAATGCATATCTATCAGGAGATGCTGATTGGCCTGCGTGGTGTTTTGCTGTGCATGCGCAATACACAGGAACACATTTGACTTGCTGAGATCCAGGTGCAACGAGACAGGTACAGTGCTGGAATTAAGGTTAGTTTAACACTTTTTTAAATGCAGGCATGGGGGTTTAAAACTATAGAATAAGGCATACATGTTTGTATTCCTGACACTACAGTGTTACTTTAAGAAGTTCTTTTTGTGACTACATCAGTTGTTTATGTTGTTGGCCGGTTCTTGAAATGTTCTATCCTGCAGTACATAGACTTCCTGCCTTGCAAGAGGGAAATTCACTAGCCAGCCACCTTCTGGAGAATATGAGATTTGTATACTGCATGCTAAAACAAGAGAAGGATTAGCATATTTTATGTCACAGTAGCCAGGCTTACCAAAGTGCAGATACATAGACAAACTGTTGTGTTAATGTATTTCTGTGCCCCATCCAAAGTATGGGGAATTTATTGTGTTTAATGTTACAATATAAACTGCGTTTATAAGGAGTTGGACTAGCGCTGTGTGTTTTAGACTCCTTAGTTGATGTAGGAACAATAGTTTCAATTCATGTTTGCTAATGCGTTGTTGTTGTTCATGCTTCTTAGTGGCTATGTGTTTGTATAGGGTAGAGTTATATGCAGGTTTTATCCTATGTATGTTTTTACAAATTGGTTTCTTAAGGAGAGTTTTCAGTTAAAATATACTGGTGGGAAGAAATCATATTAATGGTGTTCAAGTTTGACAAGTTTCAAGGTTTTTAATTACTTTTTTTTTTTTTTAATGCATTTAATAACCAGGATACTTTTCCCCCCACATTTTTTCTCTTTTACCTACATTTTGTAATTCAATTCTTATATAATCACAACTTCCAAGTTATTTCATTAAAGTGTGAATTGTCAGAATTTAAAAGTGAATTTCCCATTTTAGGCCACAATAGTTGAACTGAAATAGCTGGACTTTCCCCCTAAAATGTAAAATTCACTTTGAATTACCGACACACAAGTTTAACAACCATGTAAATGTTTAATGAACAAAATATATGTTTAGAATACTCTAGTTAACAACAGTACTTTAAAGGGTTACTCCAAGTACCATGATCACTTCAGATTTGAAGTGGTCATGGTGTCTGGAGTCTGTATGTGCAGTGTTTTGCTGTGAGATTAGTCCTATAGCTGCTGAAGTTGTAGCCCCTACCGCCACTAGAGTCCCATGGGGGTGATTAGCCAGCTTCCGGACTGTACAACTTTCTTTGCATGGAATGTCAGTCATTGGCTGAGATCGGTCAGTTGATGCTATCGTTATGAAAAGCTCTCAAGTGACAGTGTCTCTTTAACATTGAGTCTACGTACCATGGGACATATTATCCTGGCTTGGAAAGGTTTGTTCTTGAAACTCAGATGGCTGTCTATTTGTAATATTACACCCCCCCAGTGACTACGATTTGTAGCTCAGAATTATGTAACCTGACTCGGTAGGTCCAAAATCGACAAGTAAACAGGTAATTTGTGTGGTCCTAAGTAGCATGTTTGTGAGACATACTAGATAAGCAGGTGTGAAACTCCCCAAATATCAGTGCAGCATGTGTGGGTCTGACATATTCTCCACATTCCTAAACCACTTCCCATATCATGACTTCTGCGCTAGTTACAAACTGCAGAACATATGCCAATTATGCAACTTATATATTTTCTACCCAGAGACTGGTGGAAGATTAATAATTTTAAAAATTTTGAAAGTTAGACCAATACAAAGCACTTGCTGATTAATATACAGTTTAATTGCTTTATATTACAATTTCTATAAACATAAAATAAAAATGTGTTTCTAGTGATCACCAAAATCACTGATTTCTCCCCCCCTCCCCAATATACAGTCAGGTCCCATCAACAGGCTCTATACAGACTTTAACAGAGCTTTAATCAGCCAACAGTCACGTAGGTCATTTACACACATGAAAAGTTGTGCTCCACAGACTGAGCAGCAACAAATGGGAACCTGGTAACTGCCTTTGGGGTCAAAGGCCGATTACAGCCTATCAGATCAAGAGGAGGGGTATTTAGGCCCAGTTTTCATCCTGCTCAGTGTCCTGTCGTGGTCTCCCTTGTGGTTGTCCGAGAGCGCGTTATTGATTTTGGTTATTGTGGTTATTTGACTTTGGCATTGTTTTTGACTTCCCTGTTTTCTGGCATCCCTGACTCCTGGCTTTTCCTTAGCATTGTGTCTCTTTCTTTATCCCTTGACCTCGGCTAATCCTGACTATTCTTTGGTACGTTAGTCCGGCCATTCTAAGGTCCGGTATACGTTATCTATCAGTCCTCTGTGTTACACAATTCTATGTGCTGGATCATTCTGTAATCCTGACAATGTGCCTCCCACTTTTCAAGGGACCAAAAGTAATGGGACAATTGGCTGCTCAGCTGTTCCATGGCCAGGTGTGTGTTTTATTCCCTCATTATCCCATTTAAAGGAGCAGATAAAAGGTCCAGAGTTCATTTCAAGTGTGCTAATTGCATTTGGAATCTGTTGCTGTCAACTCTCAATATGAGATCCAAAGAGCTGTCACTATCAGTGAAGCAAGCCATCATTATGCTGAAAAAACAAAACAAACCCATCAGAAAGATAGCAAAAACATTAGGTGTGGCCAAATCAACTGTTTGGAACATCCTTAAGAAGAAAGAACGCACGGGTGAGCTCAGCAACACCAAAAGACCCGGAAGACCACGGAAAACAACTGTGGTGGATGACCAAAGAATTCTTTCCCTGGTGAAGAAAACACCCTTCCAACAGTTGGCCAGATCAAGAACACTTTATTCCCGTTCAACAATCCTTCACCAAGTGAATACAGATTCACCACAAGATGTAAACCATTGGTGAGCCTCAAAAACAGGAAGGCCAGATTAGAGTTTGCCACAACCTAAAAAAGCCTTCACAGTTCTGGAACAACATCCATGGACAGATGAGACCAAGATCAACTTGCACCAGAGTGATGGGAAAAAGATATGGAGAAGGAAAGGAACTGCTCATGATCCAAAGCATACCACTTCATCAGTGAAGCATGGTGGTGGTAGTGTCATGGCGTGGGCAAATGGCTGCCAATGGAACTGGTTCTCTTGTATTTATTGAATGTGACTGCTGACAAAAGCAGCAGGATGAATTTGGGCAATATTATCTGCTCATATTCAGCCAAATGTTCCTCATTGGATGGCACTTCACATGCAGATGGACAATGACCCCATACTGCAAAAAACCACGACTTTCAAGGGAAAGAAGACAATGTTCCAATGGCCAAGTCTCACCTACCAATCCCTTAGACATTTCACTTGTAAGACAAAACTGAAGGGAGTGCCCCAAGAACGAAGAGGAACGAAAATTGGATTAGAACGGCAGAGCATCACCAAATATGAAACCCAGCGTCTGGTGAGTCTATGCGCCAGACTTCAGTGTAATTGATGCAAAGGTTTGCAACCATGTATTAAAAAGGAAAGTGATTTATGACTGTTAAAACTGTCAATACCCCTTAAAAGTGGAATGACATATACAGAATTCCTACACCCACCTGACCCCAGCTGAAATCCAGTTAAGCACATCATTTCAAACCCTTGTGTCCAAAAAGACCCCACCTGACTGTAGGCCACCACATAAAAACAGATCGCTGGAGAACTACATACTATTATGGCTTCAAACTTACGACTACCCTTCCTTGCATACTTAACCCATGGGTCCTCAAACTCCGGCCCCCCAGATGTCCACTACAACTCCCATAATTCTCGGCTATCTTGTAATTCAAAGACAGACACAATTCAGCAACATCTGGGGGGCCGGAGTTTGAGGACCCAAGTTTAACCCTTTGTTGAAAGTTGTTTTACTGTTTAGCCATTTTGTATGTGAATTGTGCTAACTTAAAATAACATAAGCAGAGAGGCAAAATTGGAAGGAAACCGGTTTGAGGGATAACCCTGCAGATTTGGATGTCATGCATCTTACCTTTTTTAGTTTGTAACGTGCAGTGTTATGACAACTACCTTAAGATTTAAGGAACTTTGTATTCTAACTTTAAAACAGTAAGATGTCTACGTCACAATGCTGTTTCAAGCCCTTCTTCTTTTGTGTTTACTCCCTTGTTTAAAAAACTTTGTCAAAAGCCTGTGTTCTAGCAAGACTTTGTAACATTGCTGCGTTGTGGTACTCAACAGTTAAAAAGTGTTTGTGATCCTCAAGAGTACATGCTAAAACACAACAGAAACTTTTAACCCCACTTTTTTTTTTCTTACCCCTTCCCCCAAAAAACACACTTTACAAATAAAGAATTTTCAAAAAAAAAAAAATATATTGATCCTACATATTTGCCAGATGTGTTTTGGGGACTGACCAGACTGCACAGGTTTAGTTTGTTATTCATTCTACATCCTGCCAGAATTCCCAAAAACCTGCAGAATTAATGTGCTATGACAATTAATGCAGTTGATGAAAGTTGGGTTCGACTTGGTGGATTTAACAAAACTAATTGAAAGAACTTCAAATCTCTAACAATGACAGTTGACCACAAATTTACTTTTAACAATAAGGTCATTATGCTGTGTTTGTTCTGTCCCCGCAGCACCTTATTTGGCATCCTGTCCTGGAAGTTTTCCAGCTGACAGTTTGCAAACATTCTGCGTGAGGAACGTGCGTGAAGCTAGCTTAAGCTGGAATGCAATGTAGATATAAATTATTAGCAGATTAAAATAGTACTCTGCCTTGTTTTGCACATCAGGTACTCATACATTTGGGGTGCATTCGCATACCAGGTTCCTTAAAGGGCTTAAAGTGACACTGCCACTTCTCTGGAAATCATGCCTTTGAACAAAACAAGTAAAAATCACTTAACCTGTGTTAACCTTTTTTTGATGCAGTGCTGAATTGATTTTTTCATATGCATTTAAAAAATGTATCAAGTGACATCTATATCCAGTTCAGGCTTAGCTAAAAATGTGTAAGTGGGGTGAATGAGATATTGTTTCATTTCTCCTGGTGTCAAAGACTGTGTTCCAGGGAAAATAAGGCAAAAATATGTTTTGATTTTTGAAGGCCAAGATGGAGGGCATGTTAAGGATAAAATTTTAGATGATACTTTTATTTTTTTTTTAGTTCCCAGTATTCATATTTAAAAATATAAGGGATAAGTAAACATAATATTAAAGGGACACTATAGTCACCAGAACAACTACAAGCAATTCTGTAGCCTTGTGCAGGCTTTTATTATAAGCACTGCCTTTACAGAGAAACTGGTTTTACATTGCTCCTTATTGACACCTCCAGTGGCAGTCACTCAGAGAGCCACTATAGGTGCTTCCTGGGTCAGTGCTGCCGGAAAAGCAGCCCTGACGCTCAGCGTCCCCACGCTCTGCATGGAGACGCAGCATTTTCCTCATAGAGATACACTGATTCAATAGTGATCCTTTAAAATTCCTGGGATGTGAAGTTCCCCTTTAAAATCATTGCTGCCCAACACTCTAGTTGCCCTAGTAACTTATTACAGTGGAGGATTATTCCACCCCTTCTGAGAATTTGTTACAGTAATGTACCTCCTTATCATCCTCCCAATGTCTAATCTAGTAATTATTTACAGGATTACTGTAGAAATAATGTACATCAACATGGATATACACCCCTAATTGTTAGCAGATTATTGCATCATTTATTTACGGTCTTGTTTTTGTTTTCTTTTCATTCTTTCATTCTTTTATTTTATCCCCCAGATATTATTTCATTTCCATATTACTAGTATTCTGCATGGGAAGAGGCAGTTGATATATAGCAGCTCTTTCAGCTGCTTTCAAGCTGGGTCCCAGCCAGCGATGATTTGTGTAACCTTTACTCCAATTACGCTGTAATAATGGAGTTACAATGCCAGTTGTTAACTGTTTCAGTGCCACAGTGTTGCTATCACCGGTGAAACACAATTTTTTTTTTTTTAAACCGAATAATTAATAGTGAAAATTGGTTTTGCCATTCAAAGTATCTCATGAGAGCAACGTTACTGTACGTTTACATTCCTTGATACAGTCATTCTCGGCATTGTAATGGTTTTGCTACTTTTTACAAAAGACTACAGGAAATTATAACTTTAAATTCTCCAAAAAAACAAAAAATAGTTTTTTAGGTTTAGTATTGTTTACGCTAGGTAAGGTTGTGACTCAGGAACCTATTTAACTTGCTTATGCCTTTGCTATAACCAGTGCCAGACCCATTGAGGAAAAAAACAACTTTATTTTCCCTGTATCGATTTGTTCTGTATGTTTGTCTGTCACTTGGGTAATAGAATATATTTATGCACACATACAATTATGTGCTTTGCCTTGAGTCCCCTTCATTAAGAGTACGCCGAGTATATGTTCCTTAAAAAGAGTCTGGAGCGGCGGAGCCCGTCGCAGCGAGCATCATTCCCATAGGGGTCTAGCCATCGCAGCATTTCGAACCAGGGTGTCCAGGTTTTATAGTATGAGGTCAAATTGCCATTCATGGTATAGAAATAATATTTCATTTCCCCATGATATGTAATTTGGGTTTCAATTTGTTCTCAGTCTGGAGGGTTCGCTTTTCTCCATTCTATGGCTAAACATTTTTAAATAGCCATAAAAATATAAATTAATAAACTTTTAGTGTCTTTATCTGTCTTAAAGGACCACTATAGTGCCAGGAAAACATACTTGTTTTCCTGGCACTATAGTGCCCTGAGGGTGCCCCCACTCTCAGGGTCCCCCTCCCGCTGGGCTCGGGGAGAGGAAAGGGTTAAAATCTTACCTTTCTCCAGCACCGGGCGGGGAGTTCTGCTCCTCCTATCCTCCTCTTCGGCTGAATGTTCATGCGCGGCAGGAGCTGCACGTGCATTCAGCCAGTCTCATAGGAAAGCATTCTTTATGCTTTCCTATGGACGCTTGTGTCTTGTCACTGTGATTTTCACAATGAGAAGCACGCAAACGCCTCTAGCGGCTGTCAATGAGACAGCCACTAGAGGCTTTAGAGGCTGGATTAACCTATTTATAAACATAGCAGTTTCTCTAAAACTGCTATGTTTATAAAAAAAAATAAAAAATGGGTTAACCCTAGCTGGACCAGGCACCCAGACCACTTCATTAAGCTGAAGTGGTCTGGGTGCCTAGAGTGGTCCTTTAAGAAGTTCCAAGTAGAAAAGCCACAAGTATAGTTTCATTGACATTCTAACATGCAAAATTTTGACTATTTCTTCTGTTTCATCCTTGATCTTTTGCAATTTTGGGCATTCCACCCAGATATAATAGAGTACCCGAAGGCTGGGTACATCTCCAGCACAGGTCAGCAGTGGATTTATCAAACTTGCTTAGACTTGCTGGGACCAAATACCCACGGTGCAATAGTTTATATAATGTTTCCTGTAAATTAACAACTGAATGAACAGATTTTTAACATGTAGCCAAGTCTTACACCAGATCTGTAAGGGGAACTTCATCTCCATGTCTCTAATTTACCAATGGAGGCAATAGGATGGGGGTGAGGGGGGGAGTCTGATTACTTAATATTAAATTTTTTAACCTAGAGATCAGTTTATTCCTATATGTTTTCCCAAAAAATCATCCAAAATAGTTGAGTCAGAAATAGAATTATACTTTAGAAAATGTTTAATCGTCAGATAAAGAAAGACAGCGTAATCTAACTCCCTACATTTTTGACCCCTATTCTTTTCTCGCTCCATCTCACCTTTCCTAATTAAATCGCCTATTTTTGTTCAATCTACCTCTCACCATGTTTTATTTCTGATTTTATGTCTTCGTCTACCTTTTTCACTAATGTTACTCTCGTTATTCCTTCCTCCTCAATTCCTCCTTATTCTATCAACCCAATAATCCCATGTGCCCTCCCTAGCTCATTTCTTCTCCCTTTTTTGTGCCCTCATTATATACCAACCCCTTCTCCTCTTCTGTTTCTTTCCCCCTTTTATATGCCGTTCAAGTGTCCTGTAATTCCATTCACAGGCCAGCATCCTTGCAAACTATGACAATACTCTAGTTAATGTATTTACTTTGTGCCCCAAGGGTTAAGTCCAAGTGCATGGAATTTATTGTGTTTAGATTTGAAGTGAATATGGTGTCATGCGATTAAGGTATGACTGCAGACTCATGAATTCGCTGGCTAGTGTTTTAGAGAGTCTGTAGCTGTCCCTAGTCCGACCGACATATAGTCCAAGTTGGGTGGTCAGGAATACATGCGAAACTAGTGTTGCTTGTTCCGGACTTCTTACAACTGTGTTTGCATATATGGTCAGGCTGAGACTCGGTCAGTTGATGCTATCGTTATGAAAAGCTCTCAAGTGACAGTGTCTCTTTAACATTGAGTCTACGTACCAAAAACTTTGGGACATATTATCCTCAAGGCTTGGAAAGGTGGACAAGAAACGGGGTGTTCTTGAAACTCAGATGGCTGTCTGATTTTTGCTAATATTACACCACTAGTAGTCATAAATGAGCCCCAGTGACTACGAGGTTTTGTAGCTCAGAATTATGTAACCTGACTCTGGAAGAGTAAATAGGTGCCAAAATCGACAAGTAAACAGGTAATCAATGTGTGGTATCAACAGAGCAAGAGTAAGAAAGTAAATTAAGGTGCTAGCAATAATGGATCTAAGGGAGCTGTGTTGTCTTTCATATTCTCATGTTGTAGGCTTATAGTTTTAGAGTTCTATAGGAAACATAAGCTGTAGTTAAACTGCAGGGATTGCCTATATCAAAGTTATTTATAAGCCCAAGACTTTGTATTAGTGGTGTTTTAAGGCTGAAAAAAAAAGGATTATACATGTTAGGTTTTTTTTTTTTTTTTTGTCAGGGATCAACCGATTATCGTTTTTTGCCGACATTATCGGCTGATATTCAGATTTTTTGTAAGTATCGGTATCGGCCCATAATAACCGGCCTATAATCACCGGCAATACCGATAATGAATGGGTGTGCTGGCACGTCCATAAGGCAGCACAAGCGCCCGCCTTACGCCGCACCGGCCCTTTGGGCGCTAGATCGGAGTGACCGGCAGGAGGTGGGTACACAGTGCTCCCTCCTGACAGGCACTCTGTGTAGCGTGGCGGAGCAGTGCACATCGCCATACAGAAATTATGTTTCCTCACCCGGCTTTTTTGTGGGAAGTGCTCACAGAGAGAGCACTTCCTGTCAGTCCGGCCTGGTACAGGAGACTGAATCTCCTGTACCGCGGTGCGCACTGCTCCGTTCGGCCACGCTACCAGGAGACACACTGGGGAGCGGTGACCAAGGAGGGGAAAGAAAGAGAGGGGCACTAAGGGACAGGGACGGGGGTACTATGGGACGGGGAATGTATAGGAACACTATGGGGGAGGAGGGATGTAAAGGAACACCATGGGACAGGGGAGGGGGAGAAGAAAACTATGGGACAGGGAAAGGGGGGTAAAGAACACTATGGGACAAGGGAGGAGGGGGAAGAACACTAGGGGATAGAGAGGAACATTAAGGGAGGACACTAAGGTACAGGAAAGGGAAAAGGAACACTGGGGTAGGAAGGACCACTAAAAGAGCAAGGAGAGGAACATTAAGGGGAATGGGGGGGCACTAAGGGACAGGTATGGATTCAGGGGTGGGGGGAGTTCCTACCGCACATATTTACACAAAACATGTGTAATCCCTACACAGAATTAGCTGGATCCACTTGCAACATTGCATGTTTTAAATCAAATACTCTCTGTTACAAACTCATATAAAGCTGAAAAGTCTGACTGGCATGTAAATAACTTAGCACTGTCTTATTTTGCTTAATTTATTGTGTTCTTGTTGCATACTTTATATGACTTGATTGTGTTGACTTACGCCAAAAAGATTTTAATTTGTAACTGTACCCAATTCTTTATTTGTGACCTGACAATGTATATAATTTCCTATTTGTGCAATTCAATAATTTTAATTTTGAAAGTATTTTTTTTTTTTTTTTGTCTTCACCTTTTGCAGTTATTAATGCATACAGTTGTTTGAGGGATTGCTGGAACCCTTTGCACTGATTTCTATAGATGTCATATCTATAAAACTGGTTTTTAGTGCTGAACAGTGAATGGCTGTCAAATCACCTGATTTCTGCCCTGCCTACCTAATATTAAGGGACACTATAGTCACCAGAAGAACTACAACTTAATGTAGTTGTTCTGGTGAGTATAATAGCTCCCTTCAGGCTTTTTTCATGCAAACACTTTTATATGCCTCTATTTACACCTCCAAGTGGCCACTTCTTAGATGGACACTGGAGGTGCTTCCTGGGTCAGTGCTGCCGGAAAAGCAGCCCTGACGCTCAGCGTCCCCACGCTCTGCATGGAGACGCAGCATTTTCCTCATAGAGATACACTGATTCAATAGTGATCCTTTAAAATTCCTGGGATGTGAAGTTCCCCTTTAAAATCATTGCTGCCCAACACTCTAGTTGCCCTAGTAACTTATTACAGTGGAGGATTATTCCACCCCTTCTGAGAATTTGTTACAGTAATGTACCTCCTTATCATCCTCCCAATGTCTAATCTAGTAATTATTTACAGGATTACTGTAGAAATAATGTACATCAACATGGATATACACCCCTAATTGTTAGCAGATTATTGCATCATTTATTTACGGTCTTGTTTTTGTTTTCTTTTCATTCTTTCTTTATTTTTTCCCCCCAGATATTATTTCATTTCCATATTACTAGTATTCTGCATGGGAAGAGGCAGTTGATATATAGCAGCTCTTTCAGCTGCTTTCAAGCTGGGTCCCAGCCAGCGATGATTTGTGTAACCTTTACTCCAATTACGCTGTAATAATGGAGTTACAATGCCAGTTGTTAACTGTTTCAGTGCCACAGTGTTGCTATCACCGGTGAAACACAATTTTTTTTTTTTTAAACCGAATAATTAATAGTGAAAATTGGTTTTGCCATTCAAAGTTCTGATGAGAGCAACGTTACTGTACGTTATATTCCTTGATACAGTCACATATTGCACATTAACTGTTTTGTATTTTATTTTAAAGACTTGATATTTTTTTATAACTTAAATTCTCCAAAAAAACAAAATTAGTTTTTTAGGTTTAGTATTGTTTACGCTTTTACAAGGTACCACTCAGGAACCTATTTATTTGCTTATTTGATTGCTATAACCAGTGCATCAGACCCATTGAGGAAAAATATACACTGGTTGTTCTCTTTGTTCTGTGTGTTTGTTAATTTTGGGTATAGACTTGTTTATGGAATTATTACACTTATAATGAGGTGGTTGACAGTCATTAGAAGGAGCCGAGTATATAATTGCTCTGTAAGAGTCTGGAGCGGCGGAGCCCGTCGCAGCGAGCATCATTCCCATAGGGGTCTAGCCATCGCAGCATTTTAACCAGGGTGTCCAGGTTTTATAGTATAGGTCAATTGCCATTCATGGTATAAAATAATTTTCATTTCCCCATGATATGTAATTTTGCTTTCAATCCCAGCAGTCTGGAGTTCCTTTTCTCCATTCTATGGCTAAACATTTTTAAATAGCCATAAAAATATAAATTTTAAACTTTTAGTGTCTTTATCTGTCTTAAAGGACCACTATAGTGCCAGGAAAACATACTTGTTTTCCTGGCACTATAGTGCCCTGAGGGTGCCCCCACTCTCAGGGTCCCCCTCCCGCTGGGCTCGGGGAGAGGAAAGGGTTAAAATCTTACCTTTCTCCAGCACCGGGCGGGGAGTTCTGCTCCTCCTATCCTCCTCTTCGGCTGAATGTTCATGCGCGGCAGGAGCTGCACGTGCATTCAGCCAGTCTCATAGGAAAGCATTCTTTATGCTTTCCTATGGACGCTTGTGTCTTGTCACTGTGATTTTCACAATGAGAAGCACGCAAACGCCTCTAGCGGCTGTCAATGAGACAGCCACTAGAGGCTTTAGAGGCTGGATTAACCTATTTATAAACATAGCAGTTTCTCTAAAACTGCTATGTTTATAAAAAAAAATAAAAAATGGGTTAACCCTAGCTGGACCAGGCACCCAGACCACTTCATTAAGCTGAAGTGGTCTGGGTGCCTAGAGTGGTCCTTTAAGAAGTTCCAAGTAGAAAAGCCACAAGTATAGTTTCATTGACATTCTAACATGCAAAATTTTGACTATTTCTTCTGTTTCATCCTTGATCTTTTGCAATTTTGGGCATTCCACCCAGATATAATAGAGTACCCGAAGGCTGGGTACATCTCCAGCACAGGTCAGCAGTGGATTTATCAAACTTGCTTAGACTTGCTGGGACCAAATACCCACGGTGCAATAGTTTATATAATGTTTCCTGTAAATTAACAACTGAATGAACAGATTTTTAACATGTAGCCAAGTCTTACACCAGATCTGTAAGGGGAACTTCATCTCCATGTCTCTAATTTACCAATGGAGGCAATAGGATGGGGGTGAGGGGGGGAGTCTGATTACTTAATATTAAATTTTTTAACCTAGAGATCAGTTTATTCCTATATGTTTTCCCAAAAAATCATCCAAAATAGTTGAGTCAGAAATAGAATTATACTTTAGAAAATGTTTAATCGTCAGATAAAGAAAGACAGCGTAATCTAACTCCCTACATTTTTGACCCCTATTCTTTTCTCGCTCCATCTCACCTTTCCTAATTAAATCGCCTATTTTTGTTCAATCTACCTCTCACCATGTTTTATTTCTGATTTTATGTCTTCGTCTACCTTTTTCACTAATGTTACTCTCGTTATTCCTTCCTCCTCAATTCCTCCTTATTCTATCAACCCAATAATCCCATGTGCCCTCCCTAGCTCATTTCTTCTCCCTTTTTTGTGCCCTCATTATATACCAACCCCTTCTCCTCTTCTGTTTCTTTCCCCCTTTTATATGCCGTTCAAGTGTCCTGTAATTCCATTCACAGGCCAGCATCCTTGCAAACTATTAATGCTCCTTCCTTCATGCAGTGTTATAAGCAGGGTTGTATCTACCGCAAGGCAAACAAGGCATTTGCCTTGGGCGGCACTTTCCAGAGGGTGGCAAAAACGCTATCCCCAAATGCCCAGGCTAATGCTTTGTTTGCCTTGTTTTATGGGGGCCCAAGAGCTGGCAGGCCGGCCACCTTTGGGCCTCCCTGGGGCAGGCAGCCAGTTGTTTCCTGGGTGGGTGGCGAGGGAGCTTTAAACGCCCTTGATAAAGGAAGCCAGTTGGTGCCGAAACATTGGGGGGTTATTTTTTCGTGCTTCTGCCCTATTAGGCTTGTGAGAATTTTGGTAAATTATTACTGTTGATTATTTGTTTGCCTGTTTATTGTCATTTTGTATTTTCTTGTAATATACATGCTTAACCAATTGTTGGTTCATTAAATAATTGTATATATTTCTTTTTTGTTCTGGTGTGCATTCTCTTTCATATAATACTAAAAAAGACTCAACATACCAAATTTGCAATACCTTGGGTTGTCTTCTTTTGCAAATGGTATGCCATCATGGGGGTAATTCTCATTTCTGGGCTACCATAGGCTACCATGTAAAACAGTGACCCCCCCCCCCCATTTACAGGTTTTAGAATGTCATACAAAGGTACAGGGTTAAAGATAGGGCTTGTCCCAGATAGTCCCTCTAGACCGAGAGAAACATTGATTGGGGGAACAGCGGCGATCGGGTAAGTACTAAGAATAGCGCGGACGTACTAGGTATCTAAATAGTGTTTTTTAAACACCATAGAGTCAGGAATACATGCTTATATTCCTGAAACTAGTGTTCCTTTAATTAAAACCTTTGCTGATGTTTAATATTAAATAAAATGTGTTTGTTGTAGTCTAAAACCTCAGATTAGACCGGCTTTTCCAGACTTGCCGGTCTTTTTTGCCTAGGGGGTGGATTCAGGCGGAAGAATGGGCACCCATAACTTTGTGCCTGTTCTGCATTGCCTCCCTCCCAGATACATGTTCCTTCAAATCGTCTTGTGTCATAAATCCTCCTTGTGATGAATTTAGAATCCATGCTCATCTTATTTCCTCTACCAGACTTCTGTACATAATGTGCAGCCCTTTTCAGAATTTTTATTTTTTTTAACCAATACTACTCTGTCCAGTAAGATAAGGTATAAGGTATACGCCAAGCAAATACGCCAGGTATACGCCAAGCAAATGTTGCTAGCATGAGTTATGAAAATAATCCTGGAACATGTATTGAAAATTTGGTGCAGCCAGTGAAAGAATAAAAGTACAAGCTAAAAACGTTATATGTAGCACGAACTGCTTGGCATGTGAGATCCAAATAAAGGCTCTTATTAGATTTTGCATAAAAGAAAATTGTACACTTCAAAAACTTTGAAATAAATTAGGGCATTTACAGGGTGCAATATAAATGCGTGCTCAAGTTTTGTCGATGGCAGAATTTTACAAATGTCAATGTAGTTATTGCTGTTCACCAAAAAACACTGACTAACTTATAATTAAAAAAAAATAGATGGACAAGAAAAATGGGTGGAGAGAAAATGTCATGCGCACGTAAGGTTTGTCAACAAAAAAATATATTTTTAGCATGATGATGACGATGATAATACCAGAATAACAAAGAAAGCACCCAGGACACCTCCTCCCTTCATTGCAGCCTTGAAGAATGTAACCCAGTGATGTTTTGCTTTCCTGGGGGTTGGGCAGAGGAGAAAGGAAAGAAAAAGCCATTGTAAACAAAGTTGGGTGGAGAGTGAAAGTAGAAAGGCTAAAGCAAAATAAAAACAATGGAGAACAAAAAGCCCAAGTAGTGAGTCAAGGTAAAAAGGGTGAATTAATAGAGGGGGTGGGGTGTGGGTGAGGAGCAGGGGGGAGCGTTAGTATAGTTGGCCCCAGGATTTATAAACGTGCAAAAAAGTAGAACAAGGATGCATCACAACAACAAGTTAGGCTTATTGTGACATGTCCTTTCATTCCTGCATTGAGATGAGAAATATGTCTGTATATCATAGTATAATTAAAGGGTCTTCCTAAGCATAACAAAAACAACCATAACTGAATGAAGCAGTTTTGGTAAATAGGACATGCCCCTGCAGTTTTACTGCTCTAATCTCTTTCATTTAGGAGTTAAATCGCTTTTGTTTCTGTTTATCAGACCTTGCATCACATTGTGTTTACTTTAGAAGTTGAACTCTAATCACACACAACAGGAGGCTGTTGCAGGTTATCAACAGAGCAAGAGATAAGAAAGTCAAAGTTAAACACGCTGCGCAATAATGGAAGCTAAGGGAGCTGTGGACTCTTGTTAATGAAGTGTGTTGGGAGGCTGTATGAGTTTTAGATGTCTGAATAGGAAACATAAGCTAAGAGATTAAGACTGCAGGGACTTGATCTATACTCCAAAACAACTTTATAAGCCTTAAGTTGTTTAGTGATTAGTGCCCATTTAAGGCTGAAAAAAAAAAAGATTACACATGTTAGGTTACTAGTAGTTATACTGCGTGTTTTTTTTGTCAGGGATCAACCGATTATCGTTTTTTGCCGACATTATCGGCTGATATTCAGATTTTTTGTAAGTATCGGTATCGGCCCATAATAACCGGCCTATAATCACCGGCAATACCGATAATGAATGGGTGTGCTGGCACGTCCATAAGGCAGCACAAGCGCCCGCCTTACGCCGCACCGGCCCTTTGGGCGCTAGATCGGAGTGACCGGCAGGAGGTGGGTACACAGTGCTCCCTCCTGACAGGCACTCTGTGTAGCGTGGCGGAGCAGTGCACATCGCCATACAGAAACTTATGTTTCCTGTACCCGGCTGGACTGAAAGGAAGTGCTCACAGAGAGAGCACTTCCTGTCAGTCCGGCCTGGTACAGGAGACTGAATCTCCTGTACCGCGGTGCGCACTGCTCCGTTCGGCCACGCTACCAGGAGACACACTGGGGAGCGGTGACCAAGGAGGGGAAAGAAAGAGAGGGGCACTAAGGGACAGGGACGGGGGTACTATGGGACGGGGAGGGGGGGAATGGTAAGGAACACTATGGGGGAGGAGGGATGTAAAGGAACACCATGGGACAGGGGAGGGGGAGAAGAAAACTATGGGACAGGGAAAGGGGGGTAAAGAACACTATGGGACAAGGGAGGAGGGGGAAGAACACTAGGGGATAGAGAGGAACATTAAGGGAGGACACTAAGGTACAGGAAAGGGAAAAGGAACACTGGGGTAGGAAGGACCACTAAAAGAGCAAGGAGAGGAACATTAAGGGGAATGGGGGGGCACTAAGGGACAGGTATGGATTCAGGGGTGGGGGGAGTTCCTACCGCACATATTTACACACAAACATACTGCATCCACTACACAAACACACACTGAATCCACTACCCACACTGGATCCACTACACAAATGCACACATTGCATCCACTACACAAACACACACACACACACACACACTGCATTTACTAATCAAATACTCTCACTGCATCCACTACAAACACATATAAATATTCTTGAAAACATTAAAAAAAGAAAAGAAAAATCTGACTGGCATGTAAATTTTGTGCCTTTACCACTTATAAAAAAGATATCGGCTCTAAAAAACTGTCTTATTTTGCACACTGATAATTTATTGTGATTCAGTTGTTGGCACCTACTGCAGGATGCTGATAGCTGAGATTAAATTTAGACTTGCTGTGTTCATAGAGCCCTGTCCAGTTGGTTTTTGATTCTCTAAGCATCCACTTAGAAAATATAGGCGTATCAGCAGTGCTCATAATTACAACTCACCCACTAGCCATTTACAAGTGAAAAAGCCTTGTGTATCAGGATACAATGAGTACAATAAATGTTGGAAACTAAAATATTACGTTTTTTTGTTTTTTTAATTAACTTTATTTGTGTATTTTTAAATGCATTATCTATATCAGGGGTAGTCAACCTTTTAATACATACCGCCCACTTTTGTATCTTGATGGTTGATGGTAAAATTTCCTTACCGCCCACCAGTGCCGCAGTAACTAATTTTATAGTGCAAGTGCAATATATTTTTTATTTTTTGAAAGTATTTTTTTTTTTTTTTTTTAATATGTACTTTGTTTCCTGTGAGTGTGTGTATGTGTGTGTGTGTGATTGAACCTCTTTGTGTGAGGGGTGCAGTGTATGATAAAGATGCAGTGTGTGTGTGTGTGAGGGTGGCAGTGTGTTTGAGGGGCCCACCCAGGCCCTTCCCTCCCTCTGCTGGAAGTAAGTGCCAGATCTTTGATCTCCTCACTAGCCCGAGAGGGTATACAGCAAGGCTGGCTTTGCTTGGGCCGGCAGGGTAGATGAAAGGATCTCCCCTGCCAGCCTTGGTCCACGGCCATCGAGGCCCACTGGGCATTTTCTGCAGAACCCACCACCACCCACCTGAAATCCCAAATTGCCCAATAGTGGACAGCAGGGACCAGGTTGACTACCCTGATCTATATAATGCTTTTAAAAGAAGGGGTTAACTTCAGCGCAGAGTTTACCAACTTCAACTTACCAGAATCAACTTATTATTGGTACTGTCAATACAACAAGACATCACCTATAACACATTTTGATTTAGGAATATGATCTGCCCTTTCTTAAAGATATTTACTGTATATGTTATATGGAGTGCATTCTATATCGTTAGCAGGAAAATATAGTCACCAGAACAACTACAGCTTATTGTATTTGTTCTCGTGAGTAGAATCATTACCTTCAGGCTTTTTGCTGTAAACACTGTCTTGAAAATGCACTATTTACATTACAGCTTAGTGATAACTTCACTGGCCACTCCTCAGATGGCTACTAGAGGTGCTTCCTCGGGCAGTGCTGCAGAGTAAGCAGCACTGCCGTTCAGTGTCTCCGCCCTCTGCATGCAAACACTGAACTGTCCTCATAGAGATGCATTGATTCAATGCATCTCTATGAGGAGGTGCTGATTTGCCAAGCTGGTGTTTGGCCCTGCCTCCTTGTCGATTTTTAGCTAATCCATTGCTCCGCTTTCGATTGGCTGAATAACTTCTGATGATGTCAGCAAGGAGGCAGATCGAAGGCAAGGCCACGCCGGCAGACTCGTGCCACGCTGGAAAAAAGGTAAATTTTATTACCTTTTAAGTGGTCTTAGGGGGGGTGGGGGCAAGCTACCTAAATGGTGGTTTTAACACTACCAGGATTACATGTTTGTGTTCCTGACCCTATAGTGTTCCTTTAATGCTCTTATTGTTCACAATGCTGTCTAGTGAAATATGAAACCAACTACCTTGAGTCTCAATGAGTAGCCTCATGGCCATGGTGGTTATATCCACAAATAGTTGTTTGGTTCTTGAATATTAATAAGCTTTGGGATGTGTGAAATTTCTCCGTGAGAGTTGTGCGAGGGGCCAAATTGGGGATGTCATTGATGAAATACAGATAACCTGTGATGTGATTTTTGGACTATGCTGTGACCATTTCATGGAGAGTAGTTGTGCAGGGATGTGTAGCAGAAAATTATGCAATCAAATTCTCTGCATTACTTGTGCTGACCACTAGATGGTGCAGCAGGACTGTTAAAGGTCAGAGATTTTGAGTGCCTTCTATATGCAGTAGCTCCACATGAGCAGGCTCACATACATTTGGGATTACATTTATTAATTTACTCTATTTATAAGCACTAATGTCCTCTTGTATTTCTGGCTGATCCACTCTGTTTTTGCCAGGTTCCCGTGCATTCTCTCACTCTCTGCCTCTATATATGTTTGCCCTATCATTCTATCTCTCTATACTAGTTAACTCTAACATTTTATTACTCTATATCAGTGTCTCATTGTGACTGGGATAAATGGATATTTCACTAGACCTTTCTCAGCTCGGTGATGTTCAAACCTGTTGACCTGAACAGCTATATTGAGCTGATAGCTGTCACGGTTGGAAATGGTTAATCAACGTCCCTAAAAGTTAACTGCTACGTATTAAAAGGGATAGTACAGATGAGATGAGTTATGAAACATAAACCGATATAATTAAAAAGGGATTTTCATTAAAAGGTTATTCGACAAACCTATTGGAAATAGCGTAAAAAATAGGTTAGACGGTCATTATTGGAATATAATAAAAGTTAAACCATAACAAAGTTGGATTTTAAGTTTTCCTATATTTCTAATTCTAGTAATGGTAGTAGAAAAGATAAATCACTCATTAAAAATGTTTTGACCAGTCCTCTTAAGGACCCAGACCTTAATTTGATAAAGTGAGTGTTTCCCCTAGTAACACAGAGCCGACACATCATGAGCTGGTTCTATAGGCTCCATCTCACGTGAGTTTTTTTTCTTGAATTTTCTGAAGTCTGCTGTTGCATTACTATCTACACTCCTGGCATAATTTCCATTTATTTGAGGATTCCCCACCAAAAGTGAAGTATCTACTACAGGCAGGTGTGGTGGAACCCTTGAGACACCAACTGCTTCTGTATTCTGAGCCAGAATTAAGTGGCTCTGAAATATATAGATTTTATTTCACTAATATAACAGTGTACACTGTTTTGTATTCTTATTTTATTTTTTGTTTTTTTTTGGGTGGTATATATAGTTTGTGGTTGCCGATTCCAAGAGTCCATAGGTAATTCACAGTGTTTTTACACAATACCACGTTTTGTTTTTCACTATTTTAAAGATTTGATGTTTGCATTCTTTCTCTAGTTTGTAGAGGGAGAATATATACACAAGTGGTTGCTTCTCTGCACATACATGTTGTTGTATAATTTTTTTCGATGTTACTTGTGACTGGGATTATTAACTATAAATGAGGTGGTCATACAGGGGATGGCTAGCAAGGAGAGCGGGGGTAATTGCTCTGTACCACTCGAAAAGAGCAAATTGTGGACTGCTCTATAAGATATTTTAACAGTATTGTTTTTTTTGGACTATTATTGTATTCTAGTTATTTTAGCAGCAGTATAAAACATTTATTATACATTTAAGAAAATAAGTTGTTTGTTAGATTGGGGTAAATCTAGTTGCTTCTTCTCCCAGGCCAAATATAGACATTCCTTCCCCATGACCTTTAGGGAAATAAACTTGTATCATCATGTTGTTGTTGTTGTTTTTTTTTTTATAATTCTTTATTTTTCTTGTGCATACTTTTACAAACAGGCCTGTAGCGCCACGACAGCGAGTACAAGCTTTACATTGGTATACAATATCATGACGGAGTTGTCAGTACATTTAATTTTATAAAATATCACGCTTAGAGTACTAGTGTAACATTCATATATATTAATTAGACTATGCTTACACACATAAGTAGATTGTCGTTGCTTCGTTAGCGAGTTTACTGACTGTTTAAGCTAGCCTCAGTCACATTCTAGTGGCTGCAGTAAATGAGTATGCATATTGTTCCCTGCTTAATACAACATTACCATTCAAGTAGTTGATAACTGCTAATGATAAAGTTTTGCATGTTGGTTAATGAGCTCTTATTAGGCTGATTACAATAATGAGTAGCCATCTTTCTTAGCTGCCTAAGCTTCGTGAGAGTGGTTGCAGGTTATGTTGGGCTAGAGCATGAGTGGCTATATCAAACTCTAAAGCAGCCGTAACCCTTATGATTAGACTGTAAAATGTCCACCCCAGGTGGTTTCCACGTCGGTCAGGTGAAGGGTCTGTGTTTGCCTGTCAGGAGACCAGTCTTTATTCAGTGAGGATAGTTTCTTTGGTGGGAGAAGCTTAGGTGCCTGCTGCACTTCTGATATTCTCTTGTTAGCTGGTCTGTCAGGTGTTTGTCGTGGGCTGGTGAGAGATCTCAGGCGTCCCGTCTGCTGTGAATGATCAGTCCATGCATTTCGACTCCCTCTCGGTGCGCTGCTTAGTATGGTAGGGTAAACCAGTGTGCAGTGACAGTTCTTTTTGTTTTTGTTGTTCTGCCGCTCCGCTCATGGGATCCTAGCACCCACTCTGTCGGCTCTCACCCCGACCGGCTCGGCGATCTGTCTGTGTGGCTGCAGGAGAGGTGAGTGCGCTCGGCTGTTATCAGGGTCACTTGCCATGTGGTCTCCGCCATTTTGGACACGGCTTTCTCTGCCTCAGCTGCAAGCGCCGGCCTTGTTGTGGTACGATGGGTCTCGGGGTGGGGACCGGGATCACCCCCACCGGTCCAAAGGGGGGGGGGAACGGAGCCGGACCCGCCTAACCCCGGATTGCTGCCTTACCACTGGTGGGCAGGATAGCCAGGCAGCGGCCGTCCACCTCGCTCACCGCCCGAGCGGTCCGCATCGTGTGACTTGGATCGCCCCTCCGAGGGACTAAAACTGCTCAGCAAGCCTCTCCTCGGGACCAGGGTGGCCTCTTACACCGGTGCTCGGCAGCCAGTTGTCAGGTAAGCTTGATGCCGTTTTTTTTTGGGCTAAAACTGGAGGTTTTTACAGGAGCTACTCCATTTTGCGTCCTTTCAGCCTGGCGGTCCGGCCCTTGTTGTTGTTTTTTTAGCTAGGAAGTGAGAGTTTAAAGGATTCACATTGCAGTCAGTGACAGGACAAAGGGGCAATAGCCATTATTATTATCTTATTCCATGATATTCTCAATCATAGCAAAATGGTCAATTCCTCTAATGTGTAATGCTTAGCTTGGAACTATACTGCAATTATGATTTTTTTTTTTTAGAGGCTTCTATTTTAAAGAAAAATAAAATCACTGTCTTATTGTTGGCCATCTGAAATTTCACAGTGTGCGAAATGTTACAAGTGAGTTTCAATGTAAACTAACTGGCTAGTATACCATGTGCCTGTACCTCCTCATAGATAGTGTACCATTTTGATATTAGCAGGCAGAAGACCATTGTTCCTATAGGTACATCTTCTCTCTAGAATACCCTCAGGGCTGGTTTGGATCCTTCAGATGAATGCAGCGGGTATAATTTTGACGATGATCAAATGAATGGTATGCTCCTGGGGGCCAAATTCTAATTTTGAGTAACCATCTTTCCTTGCCAGAGCCCCTGGGCAGGAGGCACTGTTTAACATCGGAGTAATTAGGTTTTCTGTTAATTTCTCCTTTGTATATTTAACTGTTGGTGGCGTAAATAGTTTGTCATCAGTTTTTGTTTTGTTTTTGTGTGTACACGATGACTATTTCTGTTCCTAATGAATATGCTTTGATGAAGTTGTATACATTGCATCACTGACATCTGCCTTTGTCTGGTAAAGAATTGCATTACCTGATTAGACTAATTAATTCATTTATTAATAATTTGAAATTGTATAGATATTGTCATATTTTGTGGGTTGTTAGTCTTATTCTATTGGAGGACCAAGGCACCCCATGTATACATTTGCTTGGTGGCAGCATTGTGATATTGTTTATGTTGTTACAGTTAAGTGTGGGCTGTGTTAAGGGGAATTTTTCATTATTCCTGGTCTGGTGCAGATAAACAGTGCAGTTTCATTCCTTCACTACCAGACTCAAGTCACAATAATGCTTGGTGTAGTGTGCGTTCGTGACAGTTTTAGCCACAGACGGTTGGCAGTATTGATCTTAAATATTAAGATCGCAAAACTTTGAGATGTGTTAAATTGAGCATTGCCAGTGATAGGTTGGCCAAAGTGGAGATGTCAGTGATGCAATGTATACAACTCGTGACATGTACCAGCTGGGTTTGACATGTAAGATAAAGGGCGTATTTTTTGTTTTGTTTCATTTTTCATGTTTATTGTATTTATGGAGTAAGTCAATAGGCAATACAGCCACGGACGCTGTCAGCCATTTATTGCAGTCCTGCTTTGTTTAAGCCTTGACAAATGTATAACTGCTTATCATTGGACATTAGTAAGAACATTCAGTGATTTATTTAGAGCAGAAAGTGAAAAGTCTGGACGCACATCTCAAATAAAGCGAAGAAACATTGTTTCATATCCCCTCTTATCTAAATGCCTTTTCTACACTGACTGCCAGGTGGTAAGAGCAGAGATGGAGGTGTCCAGTTGCAAAGAGTACAAAGAGTACAAAAATTGTGGATTTCTACCTATAATATTTTCCACCTCTTGTGAATAAATATTTGTTAAATATGTGGATCAGTAACATTCCCCTTTAAGTACCAATTTTCATTACATCTCCCGAATTACCCTTGCTCTACACAACTTTAGGTCCCCTCTGGTCAGGAGTATTGCTAATCAATTCAAAAACTTCACGTAATCAAGAGGTAGGGGGCTGTCATGAGTTCATCTTGCACAAGCACCAGGCATCTAAAGATGCACTCTGGGTCTGTTTTGGCCGTTGAAATTCTGCATAGCCTTAGCTGATGGTGGAGCTAACCAAACAGGGCATAAATATGGCTGCCGTCATGGGAACAAGGGTAAGCCAGGAGACGTACTTTAAAGTTAAAGGGAAATTGTGGTGCTAGGGAAAAAAAAACTGCTTTTTCAGCACTATTGGGTCTCAGTCATAATTGTTTTGTCTATTAAATCAGTAGACTGGACAATAAATGGATCCATATATCGATTTAAGCAACAAAATAAAGTATTTCTTACTGCAGTAAATGCCTGGTGGCGGTCCATTTTATATTACTTGGTCCCAGTTCTCTATAGAATTCTTACTTTATTATATGGCGTTGATGGTTTGCCTATATATTCTCCAGCCCTAGACTTCTCTGTATTTATGAATTAAAGATTCACAGTTGTCCCTGATTTATTTTAAATTGAATCCCTGTTTTATTTCCTTCTCCATGTCCTGTTTTGTTTAGTTTTTTTCCTTCTTTCATACTCTTGAATCATTTTTTCTATTTCTTGGCTTTTATAAGTTTAACTGTACTCCTGTTTATATGTTTCCCCTATTTACCTTATACAATACGATGGATAGACAGCCTTCCAACATTGCTGTGTATGCCAGTATAGTTAGAATACTGTAAAACAAACTGTTTCTATTATGATACTTTTGCTAGTATACTTGGATGGATAACATAACACTTTTGTAATGCATCTCTCTGTCCTTTGAATAAAAGCATTTGAAGATTTAGCAAGTGCTCCTCTTCCACAAATTTATATTAAATGCTGTAATAATGCAACATTTTATAACGATGATTGACAGACGAGATTAAAACACCCTGTACCAGGATAGATGTGTAGATTTCTACAATGTATTTTTTCAGACTTCCCTATACCATGTTTCCTTAATATAGACAGTAAGTAAATACAGGTATATATAATATTTAAAATACTGGGAATTAATACTTCAATTTAAACCCATTACCAGTGCTACAATGGCTGTTTTGATGGCTCAGGGTTCACTGTATTATTTATCTCTGTTCCATGGTTATATATACGTATACTAAGCTGGGCCGAGGCTTAACATTCCTTGGTTAAATTGCTGTAAAATAAATAGATGTCTAAATCACAAATATGATGGCTGGGGAGGGTGCGTACATGTATTTACACCCCCAGTATGGGATCTTATAAAAATAAGAAACAAGAAAATAAAGTAAATAAGTGTGCAATTACTAAATAAATCTATTCTGAATAATAATAATAACTAAAATAAGTATTTTTTTTTAATTAAATAATATTTATTACAATCTAAATATTACTTTTAGATTGTAAGCTTGTTTGGGCAGGGCTCTCTTCACCTACTGTTCTTGTATGTCATACATGTTCTTTTTAGAATTAAATGTTTTGTTTGCTATTGTACAGCGCTGTAGAATATGTTGGTGCTGTAAAACTAGTTGTGATTGTAAATAAAATGTGCAGGGATTTCCCCTCTCTAAGTGTGTTTATGGTAGATCCACAGAAGCTCCTCTATACATGTAAATATGGTAAGATCTTCCGCCCACTTGGGAGGAGTTTGCATGGCCCTTACTTTTCAGGACATACAGACAGATGGTGTGTTTGTGCAATCAGTACAGAGGGTGTGATGTGTCTTGTCGGAACTCACTGTATGCTGTGTGTTAAGTGTGTGTCTCTGTAGTGTATGTGTGGGTTCACTGTGTGCTAACAGTCTTTGCAGTGTGAGAAGTCCCTCAGCTGGTTCCAGTGATGGCTGAGTCTCCCCGAGAATTGACCCAGAATCCACTAAAAAAAATCTGGGTTCCTTATAACAATGGACATCCTGTACCGCACAGCGCCCAGAGGAAAGGTAACTGAGTGACGTGAGATTTCTGACCTGAACCTACATTGCAGATTGACACAGTGAAATACAACATTACAGAGGGCTGCTAAGCTTTAAATGCTGGGTCTGCACAATGTGGGTCAATGCACAATGTCCGTCCATATCCCAGCATCTGAATCTTGCCACCTGAAGTTACAACGTTGTGATGCGGATGGGTGATTATTGATAACTTAGAGCTAAGACCATTCTACGCAATTCTTTGTAGGGAACGGGTGTCAGAATGAAATGTCTTCATTCATTCATTCATGAATGGGTGGATAATTTAATTTAATGGCCACTGTGCATCATAACAAGAGCAATGAACCAGTAATACAGCCGGCATGCTCACAGAAAACTGGAGACCTGCTTATTCCAAGGGCAGGTGTCACAGTGCTTGCATTTAGGACGTGCATGCTGCAGTGAGCGCCTTGAAAGTCTGCATTGCACTGCGGCTGTGTGTTCAGTATTGGGAATGATACAGTTATTGATGCTGCCATGCTGTACGACATGCAATAAGTTTGACAGAAAGGTAACACATGTGGGCCGGGTCACCTCACTGCATACTTAGAACAGCAGATTCTGCAGCCTGTTTAGATTTTCAGCTTTCTTCGTTTAATTTCATTTATTTGGTTTTTCTCTCTCCTTTGAAAACAGCATTGCATCTTTACTCTTGCGTCATACCTTTTGCAACAACTGCAATCTATTATAACTCTTGTGTCAAATTATAAACTGAGTCTGAATAAGAACTATTAAATATGTTGTATTTTTTTAACAGATGTTCAAAGCACATTTTTTTTTAACAGCTTTTTAAAAAGGGAGGGGGGTTTATTGCACTTTCTTGCAATATACACTCCTAATTAGTTCACTAAATATAAACCACAGATAGATTACTATTTTAGTTTATTTGCTTTTCTGCTGTTTTCTTTCCCTCTTTTAGTTTTTTTTTTCTCATAAAGGGACACTCGATGCACCATATGTGCTGTAAATTATTGGAGTGGTTATGGTACTGGGTTCTATGGATTGACTAAAGGTACCCTTAGCAAGGTCTATCTGATGTCAAAATGTGGAGTTTCACTTCCTCGTTATACACGGAAATTTTAGAGGACATAAGTATGCATTATGTGGAATGATTGGCCAATTATCTTTCTATTTTTAAAAGTTTAACAATGAATATAATCAGCATGCATTTGTTTGACATTTTATGGGTCTGAGTAATGTGTGAATAATTAAATAAAATGTAAAACCGGCTATAATTTTTTTCCCTCAACTTTTTGTCCTGATCTAAAATTGCAATGATGAATTCACAATACCTGTGCTAAATAGAGTATATTTAAAGTTTATGGAAATGCTTTTAGCACCACAACTGTGAGTATTGCACCTATTAGTTACTGGAAACTGTAGTGTTTAAAGGCAAGCTCTAACAGTCTTAAAAAAAAATTCTATAGACAACCCTCCCCCATTCTAACCCTGCAGCTAAAACTATTGCTGTTCTGCTGGAATGACAATGTTTTCATTGTAGGGTTAATCTGGCTCTAGTTTTTTTCCTACTGACAGCCACTAGAGGCACTTACACTGAAATAGTGGAGAAAAACTCCACTATTTCATTCAGATAGTTTTAGAGAGGACATCTGATGAGCTTAGCTCGGCGTTTGGCCATGCATGCGCACTAGCCTCCCAATGCTTTTCCATGAGAGAGCCTTGGATTGGCTGAGATAATTGGTCTTGATAATTTTAGTTTAGTAGTTCCTTAAACACTCCAATCACTACAGCACCCTGTAATAGTTATAGTGCCGGGACTGCCCTGGTGCACATATTCAAGTACCCTTGCGTTAGAACAGTATTTCTTAAAGTTGATCCTTGGTTTGCCAGCCTTCATCATCCAATCCTGTCTCCTCCTGTTACTTTTGTAGACTATTGAAAATTCTGCTCAGGCCACTTTCCAGTATACAAAGGTTTTTGGTCAGGTATCCCGCACAGAAACCTTACATGGTTTATTCTGATATATGGTTTGAGTAACGGGTTATGTTAGGAAGGCAAATGACTTTGACGTACCAGAGTACATATGCTATTTAACTATATGCACTGTTGGAATTGTACTTACTTTTTTTTGTCAGTAAGACCCGGGCTTGTACTCACTTTTGGAATCCATGATGTCCTCCAGAAATTTGCTGAGATCCTTCATACAGTTCTTCTCGCATATCTTTCTGTAGGGAAATTACTGAGTGTATGCTTGCTCGGTGTTCATTAAGCTAAGAATTGTGAAGAACCTAAAAAAAAAAGGCGAGCTGGAGAGGTTTCTAGTTAATCTATTTCTACACAATTTCTTGTTCAGTTAAAAGGGTATTGAAATCACCATAGGTACTATAATAATCTGTAGTGGTGATGGTTCCAGGAGACATTCTGTGTCATCCCAGTGTAAGAGTCCTAGGTTTTCAGGCAGTTAGACACTTACATGGGTGCCCGCGGTGTGGTCACTCTTCATAGACATCACAAAAAACGAATTTTCCCTTTCATGTTAGCGTTATCAGTTTTGTCAGACTTTGATGGGATGGATATCGCTAATGCAGAATGGGAATTTTCCATTAATGGCGCAGTAGCAAAGGAAGATCTAATGTCCGCCTGGAATGCTCCCTTCAGGTTGGAAGTGATAACATTTTGATTATGTATTAGACCAATTGTGGAAAGTTTGGAAAAATATTGCTTTTCAAAAGGATGAATTAATTGCAATTAAATGTTGAACATTTGGGATGAATTTAAGACTGTCCTAAAAGAACAAATTAGGGAAAATATTTTACACACACACACACACATTTTTTTTTGTAAATCTTTTTTGTGTGTTCAGTTTAGATGGACCAGCTTGTTTGTGTCTTCAATCTGTTCACAATGGACTGTTCTTTTTTAGTGTATCTTAGTGTTCCCAGTACACTTTGTTCTGCCACATATACAAGTGGTTGAGTGCACATTCAAAAAGGTGTTAGTAATCCAGGATGGAATTACAAAATCTCAGATCTGAAACACCCATCTGTCTAAATGTCCTGCCGCCCTGGAACCATATTTAATGAACCAAATCTAATCCCATCAGGAAGAAGGTATGCAGAGCGTGTACAATTTTCTGCCTATTTTTGAAGTATTCTTGCGCAAAAGAAATTACTTACTCACTGGCCCCTCCATAGACGATGTTGAATGCAAATCCTCCAAACTTTAGTTTAAAATAATGTTTTAACATATTATTATATATTTTTTAAACCTTAGATAGACTATTTGTTTCACCTGATACATTATGATAGTCACTGTGTTGATCTTGTGTGTGTTTTTAGCTTTTCATTAAACTGTAGTTGAGAGAAAGCAGAGTGTCTTTAGCAAGGTTTACCTTGACATTGGCAGCTAAGTTTACATTTCATGGCTGTAAAATGGTGCTTTTTATTTTTTTCTTGGCTGACTTTTGTACTATATCGTAATTTATAGGGTAAATGTTATTCAGTTGTGAAACGTGTGCATTGGCAACAATAGTAATGGTTACATAATCGAACAACCTAAACATGAAACTACCAAAAACAAAATCTGTCATCACAAATCTGTATTTGTCTGTCCAATAGTTGTTAAAGGGACAGGATAAGCACAACGATCACTTCATATTTATATTTAGTCATAGATGCTTGCCCTGTAGCTTTCAGGACTATAGGTTCCCTTCTATTGACCCAAGCTGACATCACCCAAAGTCCTTTGCTTCTCATAGGAAACAAATGGATTGGAGGTGGGCATGCGTGGCAAAACGTAGCACTCCAATTAAAGGGACATTAGAGGCCCCCAGACAACTGCACTTATTGAAATGGTCTGGATGCAGTGTCCCTGTCCTCTTAGCACTGCAATGTAATGCATTGTTGTTTCAGGGAACAATACAATGTTTATATTGCAGGGTTAAGACTGTCTATATTGGTTGTGTACCAGATAGCTAAAAGAGGCGCTGCCTGCTATTTTGTGGAGTTTAACTCTGTGAAACTCGACTGGACATCTTCACGTTTTGCATGCGGACATCCAGCATCTTCTAAAACTCAATAGGACAGCATTGCATTAATGCTTTTGGATTAGAAAGGCCTAATGCGAAAGCCCCGTCAGCTTGAGGAGGAGGAAGCACCTACTAGTGGCTACTAGGAAGACCACTTGAGCGTATATTATTTCTTTTAAGGGTGTTTTATTTTATCTCCCTCCTCCCCCATGTTTTCCAGTAATCTGAAGCAAAAAAATAAAACATTGAAGTAAAGAAATATATAAAGTGTTCCTTTAGCCCCTTAAGGACACGTGACATGTCACGGTTCCCTTTTTTTCCAGAAGTTTGGTCCTTAAGGGGTTATGGTTTGTATGGCTTAACGTTGAAAGAAAGAAGGCACAATTTGACAAGATACATTTTATTTTATGACATTGAGAAAATGTTTAGTTTGCTGTAATCTGCAGTAAATACATTAACCAGTTGTGTTTTAAATGATGCTTTATTTCTACCGTCCAGTAAAACCCATTTAAATGTAAGTGCAGTCATCCTGCACCAAATAACCAAGCTAAAACTTTAAGGGTTGACCTATTTGCTGGCTGCGTGAGACAACCTAATATGTTTTGGCTGCCTGAAGACTGTACAAGGTTTGGTGTTCTCAGGAGTTATCTTGTGTGCGCTGTATAAGGAATGTGTACAAACAGGGCGCTGCAGAATAAAGTATTTAGTTCCTGGTTATATGTGCTTGTGTTTAATTGCACCTAAAGTCAATATCTAATCTTGGAGACCAAGATTTAAAAAACCTAGCTAATAGTACCACTTTCCTGCTTTTGTGTCACTTTGTTTCCATTTATTAAATGCTTAGAAACACACCAGGCTGGAGTTGGTGAGGCTTTTTTTTTTTTAATCCTTTCCTTTTAATGATTTAAAATATGTAAAATAAATAATATAATTACATTAAAAGGTACCCAGACCACTTAGTTGAGATGTGTTCTGGTTGCAGTTCACGTGATTTTGTCGCACATGCGTGTGACATCCGAGCGTGTTATGGCAAACTTAGAACAACAAACTAAATATAATCGCAAGTTACGCTCTGTGAGGTGGGGGGGAGAGGATAACTAAACAAATAACAAACATTTATTTGTCCTTTGCTGTTGGAATCAGGTAGGTAAGGTAGGTGCCTAAGGCGATCTGCCTCCTGGGACCCTACAGTGTTAAAACCACTATCTAGCCCCCTAGATCCCCTTTGCCTCCCTAAAGATAGTAAAATCTTTCCTGTATTCAAGTCTGAAGCTGCTGCCTCTGCCTGTGAACTTCCTCTGACATCATCAGAAGTGGTGGCCTGATCCAATCACAATGGTTCCCCATAGGATTGGCTGAGACTGACAAGGAGGCAGATCAGGGGCAGAGCCAGCATGATTCAAACACAGCCCTGGCCAATCAGCATTTCCTCATAGAGATGAATTGAATCAGTGAATCTCTATGAGGAAAGTTCAGTGTCAGCATGCAGAGGGAGGAGATACGGAATGTTTGGATGCATTTTAGACAGCCATGACCCAGGAAGGATCTCTAACAGCCATCTGAGGAGTGGCCAGTGAAGTTATCACTAGGCTGTAATGTAAACTCTGCATTTTCTCTGAAAAGACAGTGTTTACAGGAAAAAGCCTGAAGGTAATGATTCTACTCACCAGAACAAATTCAATAAGCTATAGTTGTTCTGGTGACTATAGTGTCCCTGTTAAGCGAGAGAGGGTCCATTAGACATTAACCTTACAAAAATTGAATTGATGCCTGCAATGTGTATTACTGTACATATCTATTCTGTGTTCAATTTACTGTTCATGCAAAGCACATGTCATGCTGTGACGATTGCACTTACTCGCAAAAATAAAGAATTTAAAAATAAACGGTTCACAAAGGACACAAAACCTGACTCCTCTACTGAGATAGTGAAAGTTTCACTTTCTCCACTTTTCTCCATGAATATTTTGATGGCAGTCTGGGGAAAAACGCTCAAACTGAAGAGTGACCACTGCAGTGACCTGTGATGGTGCATTGTTTGTCCCTTTCAATTTTTTCACCATGAGATTATCCTTCAAATCCCTGCACTGCAGGACCATATGGGTACAGGTTTGGACATTTTTTTTAGTATTCAGCTTTCTAATGTAGAAAATTAAACTGCTGAACTACCCAATCCCAATACATTTTATGCTTCAAGCAGAGTTAGATTATTGGCACAAAAAAACATTTATTGCATGTTAGGAGGTTCGGAGGGAGGAATAGTAGGAGTGGGTTTGAAAGCCAAGCTATAAATCTTTAAAAATTAATTATAATAAAACACGCCCAGCATAGATAACTGTAAACTAGTCTACACATTGCTTGTTATATGCAGGCGTGAAAAGTAACCCTTTCTTTAAAGATCAACTGATATCATTTTTTTAGAACCGATGCCGATACACAGTTATTGATTGATAATTCTGGCTTATTATTGATAACTGATGCCGATATTCTGTACATTTAAAGTTTTGAAAAAGTAGCAATTTCTATCTAGCGTTAACTGAACATGCTGACACCAATCGCGCTCCTATCACTCTCAGACAACCAGTACATATTGGGATAATTGAGAACCCAGCATGCACAGTGCTGTTACTGATGGGAGTGGGATTGTTGACGGCGTGTGTGACATGAGGTCAGAAGGCGCTTTATTGGCCGGCGGCTAGAGTTTCAGGACACAGAAGACAGCGTGTGGTGACTTGGAGAGGTAAGTAAATTATCGGTAATATTTGTAAATTACAAGGCCGATACCGATTAACGGTAAAAAATCAGAATATTGGCTCTAATAATCGGCAGAACCAATAATCGGTCTATCCCTACCATTACTTTTAATGTCTAATATATTTTTTTTATTTACTTATTATTTTTTGCTTTGCAGCTCCACAGTGTTGATCAAATACAACTGTTAAAATATGTTTTAAACCACAAAATTCTGCTTTACTCCTAATCCCTGCTTCTGTAAATTTTTTGTTTTTCTGGGTCTCCGTATTAAACCTTGTATCATATCACTATTAAAGGATTCTTCAAATCCATCAATTAACGTTCTAGGGTGTTTTTGTGGAACTTAATAAGAGGTTAATATTAGGGAATCGGTATTTGCACCCACTTGTTTTGGGGTATAAGAACTAGTGGTGTAATTCTATGCCATCTGATATATTCCTGTTTAAACGTGAAAAAATGCTTTGGAATTTTAATTTGATTATCCTGACTTGTTAACAAATTGACTTTCAACCTGGACTTTGTATTTTTTGCTTCTTCTTTTTGATTTTCTTTAGATTCTTGTTCTTGATTGTATTAATGACCATTCCATATCTTTTTCTGTCTTCGTAGTATGTATGACTAATTGCCCCACCCTCATTGTTATGGTTGGCCTCCCTGCCAGAGGAAAGACGTATATATCTAAGAAACTAACCCGCTATCTGAACTGGATCGGGGTACCTACCAAAGGTATGTTCTGTAGGCCAAAAGCACAGATTGGTAATAATTTGAATTAATGGCAGTATAATAAAAATAAACCTAAGAAGGAATAGTAAAAAAGTTGGTACACTACAAAACATGTATTTGTTTATAGCAGCATAAAGCTTTTTTACTTACTGATCTTGTCCTTGCTTTGGCAGACTGTAATGAAGCTCTGCAAATTTCACATCACAGTGTATATAGATGTGTAGATCTCATTATTTAATTTGTGTTTTATATTTAGGAGTCTTGTCTTGGGATTAGACCACCAAGTACAAGTGAACAGAATGGACATTTACAGACATCAAATGGAAGAAAAGAAATATGCAGGCAAACCTGAGGTTTCTTCTAAAAGGAAGTCTTTATTTGAAACAAGAAAGTGGAGACAACCTTTTGGCTCCTCTCTGAGCCTTTATCAAGTCAGTCTTTATTTAAAACAAGAAAGTGGAGACAAAGTTTCGGCTCCTCTCTGAGCAAGTCTTGATAAAGGCTCAGAGAGGAGCCAAAACGTTGTCTCCACTTTTTTTCTATCAAATAAAGACTGCCTTGATAAAGGCTCAGAGAGGAGCCAAAACGTTGTCTCCACTTTTTTTCTTTCAAATAAAGACTGCGTTTTAGAAGAAATCTCAGGTGTGTCTGGATATTTCTTTTCTTCCATTTGATGCCTCCGGGGATTGGCATTCCCTATTTGGAGCACCCTGCAGGAAGTATCCCCCCCTTTTTTTAATAGGAATACTCTTGGTTTTGTTTTTTATTTACAGAGATCTAGATGTATAAACTGTCTTATGGCTTGGCAATAAGCTAAAATATAGTCGAATCCATCTTTAGGATGAGGTTTTCCAGGATGTTATAAAAACTGTAGAACAGAGAATGTGTGATTTACTTTAATAAACTATAATGCTACTGATATTTTTGTAATGCTGTTTGAATTTTTTGTGCTTTCCTTCTCTTGTAGAGTTTAACGTTGGCCAGTACCGGAGGGATCTCGTGAAGAGTTTCAGATCGTTTGAATTTTTTCTTCCAGACAACGAGGAAGGGCAGAAAGTGCGAAAGTGAGTGAGCGAGATTTGTGTGTAAATCATGGAGGTTATACCTACTAAAGTATACTGTATATTGAAGTCTCCAGCAATACCTGCACAGCTTGTATAGTGCGTGTCTGTTTCTCAGTGTTTACATTAACACTGTGTTAGCTGGCATACATTTCCTCAGCCTGTTGGCACAATATCAGTATGTTTGCAACCGTTATTACCACAAGTTGCTGTATGGCTTTACATGTGGTCATTATCGGCATAGATTCATTGCCTATGGTATTCCTGGCAGAGAGGGTTTTAGATTCTTCTGAGGCCTTTTGCACCATGTCCTGTGACCAGATTGCACACAAAGCATTCTGTGTCCAGTCAACAGCTAAATCAGTCCCCCCCACTTTCTACAAATCACCTGTTGCACTATAAAGTATAACTATTTTAATGCTAGATGTACTGTCTCCATTGTGCAAATGTATAAACCTGCAGAACTCTACAAATTGCATCAGGTTGTTTAGCAAACTGTCCTATTTGTAAAACAGGCAAAAGTCAATTTCTACATATATCTTGTTTGTGTTGTTGTTGCAGGCAGTGTGCCATATTGGCTTTAAATGATGTTGGGCGCTATCTGGGAGAGGAAGGTGGTCACGTAGCAGTAAGTATTTAGCAAGTTGTAGCTAAATATCTGTATTTTTATGTAACGTAACTGTAGTTCCTCTATATTTTGATATAAACTCGGCTTCCCTTTTACTTAAATGAACAGTATGATAATACATTTTTGTTTTTAAATCCATGTTAAAAACATCAGTAAAAAAATAACTTCATCCAGAAAAGACTATGATGACTCACCTACTATAGCAGTGGTTCCCAACCCAGTACTCAAGTACCCCCTACCAGTCCAGGATTTAGGGATTAGCCTGTTGTGTCTAAAGGTTTTTTTTTTTTTCTAAGAACACCTTAGACAAAACTGAGCAATCCCTAAATCCTGGACTGTTAGGGGGTACTTGAGGACTGGGTTATGAACCACTGTACTGTAGGAATTTACTATAGGGTATTTACTTTATGCCAAATATTTTATGTGCTGCTGTCGCTTTAAATTTCCACTAGAAGAGATGACTTTTCCAGTGCTTTATTTAAGATTATTACCACACTTCTGAAAATGCTCCTGGCTGTGTTGCTGATTAAAATTCACAGACTATTATTAAACAAGACCGAGAGAGGTTTGCTAATTGCTAAGAAATACAGGTCTGATATATTTATGCATCATTTCTTTCTCCATCAGGTTTTTGATGCAACAAACACAACTAGGGAAAGAAGGGAAACTATCCTCAAATTTGCAGATCAGAACGGTTTCAAAGTAAGTTTGTGTTATAGCTTTATTCAAACAAGTCTCAATAACCAATGTTAATCTGTAATATTCTAGTCTACTATTTGTCACTGATCCTAGGCTTATTATAATGGTGCAAATTAGTCTATTAAATAGTATTCCTCACATGGCTCTTGGTTCTTGAAGCCTGCATAAAATTTTACGTCATTATATAATGAGCGTAATTAACAAACCCCAACACTAGGTGGGACTACAGCTGCGGTATATGGTTGAATATAATGAACACTCTCCCTTATTCAGACACTTTGCTACAATCATGCTTTTTTTTTTATATTCTGTATATAAATCCACTTTCTTTCTTACCCCCATTAATATTTAATTCCATTGAATCCTGCTTATGTTATTCCTGGAAACCACATGATTAATATGAAATATTCACTGAGACTCTCCCTCAAGCTTGCCTTCACTTGATTCCCTTTTGGTAGGGGGAAATATAGCTTAGTTCGACAAGCCCTAGGCAACTGCACAGTTAGTTGTTTCCTGCAGTGGCAGAGCTTTCTCCAGTGCTATGGAGGAATCTTTCAAATTGGAAAGAGTTTAATTAAGGTGTTTTGTGATTTTTTTTAATTTTTTTTAATTTCAATTCTTATAATATTAAATTTGAAAAATGGGACAGTGAGCTAAATCTCCAACTGAAGAAATGTTTCCCAATCTAATGACATAAGAACTACTGCATTATCTCATAAACACCATCACGTGTTTACTGCAGGTTAAAGCCGCATAATGCTTATGTTTTTTTTGGTTGCTTAATGGTCCAGTAAATTAGGGACAGCAGGGAAAAGAAACATTCGCTATCTTGTGGCTGTCCTTGTTAATTCTTTACATAATATTTTACATAAGGGAAAATGGGGGAATGGAAGACACAATAAAAAATAAAATTTTTAGAATTTTGGAAATCCCGCTCTGCTTGTAGACAATGGTAGGTCACATAATAAACTTTTCCAGTGTCCCGCACACACTGTATTTTATAGGGCTCTGTTTAACACTGGCTACAGAATTCACAATTGACATTTATCGTTTAAACCCATCTCTGGCAGAGCCACATGCCAGAAGATAACCAATGTTTGTCCCAGTAAAAGTGCCTGGACAGTTAGTACTTTCTTGCTTGTGGATTGATTTTAGTGCATCTCCAGCCAAACTTTAAAGGAGAACTACTGAAATGTTTTGATTTACAAATATTTATCATATAACTTTTTTTTATATATATATTTGTATTTTTCTGTTTCTGCTTGAAGACTTTCTTTGTGGAATCTATATGTATGGATCCTGAAGTTATTGCGGAAAACATTGTGGTGAGTGCCAACATGAGTGTGATATAACCTTGCCCATCTATACCATGTCATAGTACTCATCCTTTCAGTTAAAGAAATGTTCAGGTCCAATGTGAACTGGTGTGAAATTCTACATCTGTTTATTTCTGCAGTTATGTACAGTGGGTTAATTTTAGTTTGTTTTCAACTTGTGTAGAACTGTCACTTTTTGTGTATTTTAACTGACGAAACCTAAGACATTGTGAAAACACAAACATAGCTATTTCCGCAACCACTTACGAAGAAGATTATTGAAATTATACATATTTCAGGAGAACTGGGATGGGGGTCTTGGGTTTTACAATTCTCCTACTAATATTCTTGTTGTATTTAATTCTCAGCAAGTGAAGTTGGGAAGCCCGGACTATCTTAATTGCAGCAGCGAGGATGCTACAGAGGATTTCATGAAAAGGATCGACAGTTACAAAAACTCTTACGAGACGCTGGATGAAGTCCATGACAAGTAAGTACTCCTGCTGTCGCAGTGAAATTCAGATAAAAAGACGTATTCACTAGGCAGCTTAAGGAATGATGACTATAAATGTTGGGAACACAAAGCATCTGCTTGTGACAGTAATGAAGTGAAGTAATGGTAACATCGTGGTTAACAAAGATATCTAACCTGTTATTTTGTTCAAATTAGGAACCTTTTGGATTAGATGGTTCACATAATTTATTCTGTATTACAGGGATTTGTCTTATATTAAGATCATGGATGTTGGACGTAGATACCTTGTTAACCGTGTTGTGGATCACATCCAGAGCCGTATTGTCTACTACCTCATGAATATTCACATTACACCACGCTCTATATACCTGTGCCGACACGGGGAGAGTGATCTAAACCTGAAGGGTCGGATTGGAGGAGACTCAGGGCTTTCTAACCGGGGAAAAGAGGTACTTTTAGCTCAAACAGGGAAAAATATAATGTGAGAAACCCTGTCTAAGCTTCGCAGAACATAATGTGCCAGCGTAAATTTAGTAAAACCACATTAAAGTGTAATGTCCGAATTGGTATATAATAAGGGGTGGCTAAAGCTGTTGCAGAACAACAACAATAAATGGGGAAAAAAAAGGGTAATAGGCGCTCACTATAGTGTATTATAGACAGGCAGCAGTATACAGTACAAGGATTCCCAAAACCTTGTGGATAGATAGAAAAAACTAAAGAGGCGTATACCGCGCCTCGTGATTTATATATACAAGATATACGTACATATACTCCCAAGTACTTCCAATGGATTAAACCTCGGAATAAGATCAGATAAAAAGATAATAGTGCAATACAGTAAACTTATATCGTGAAGTGGTGAATATAACTATACAGAATCCACTCACATTTATATGAGCTATAACAGAGCTCAACTGTGATGCGCGTGGACGGTACAATCCCCGTCTCAGATATGTTGTTATTGTTGACACAGGTATTTCCAAAGTGCAGTATGCGTAGTATATGTAAAGAGAAATAGCAGCCAATAGTGAAGTAAGTACTTATGGTGGAATAAATAGTAAGTAGTATTGTACTTACAATTTGTAGAGCATTAAACCTGCTCTAGTGTGGACATCTTGGGTGGTATAATCCCCACCAGGGATATGCAGGATCCAGAAAGCAGCAAAAGAATGAGTATAAAAAGTAACTAATAAAAGTATTCTTTAATATAAACAAACAAAGTAAAAAAACGATAAAAGTTATAAAGGGGAGTCCCACTTAACGCGTTTCGCCTAATAAGGCTTCTTCAGAAGTGTGGTGTAGCCTTCCATTGGTTCCATTTATATGTGCTTCTAAATTCGTAGATTGCTTACTGGTGTGTCTCTTCCTGTTTCCTGGTTCCAGTTGAAACGCACGCGTCATACCAGAAATGACTCGGTGTCATACAGTAATTCGTGCATTACTATTGCGCTACTGTGGAATGCACGCATCGCTCAGAAACAGCGTGCGCCGCGTTCCAGGCGCATACATCAAATGTCCAAACATCTCCAATGAAGGAGGGGCATAAGAAGCAGGCGTGTATCACATCTCCGTGCGTGTAATGATGGCTTGACGGCCATATTCGTAGTGGGCATGAAGAGGAATAAAATTAGTAGAATCACTGGATGTTGATGTAAACATTATACTAAAAATTATAATTATACTAATTCAGATAAATGAACTACTAAGGATGACTATTGCTGGTGATATAAAACAAAAAAATATAAAAATATCACCAGCAAGCAAGGAATAATAGACTTCATTCATATATAAAATCATGACAGAACATAAGAGATAGTATTATGAATATGACAAACATGATAATACTGAATAGGTATAGTTCATACATATTAATTAAAGTGCACTGAAAGTGAACTGTATCCAAGTGTACATTTAGGTACTTTAGTATGATTTAAGTACAAAAAACACTGGTGTAGTATACATAGAGAACAGTCTTGTGAATAAAAGCATATATTCATTCGATATTGAGATAGGATTGTTGTAAAAAGATTTAGAGCAATGGATAATCAGAATGCTACAAACAAAAGATAAAATAGTTCCTAATAAAACTTAATTAAAAAAAAAAAAAAAAAAAATTTTTAATTGGGGTTTTAAAAGATTCTAAAAAATTATATAAATCAAAGTCAACATTTAGCCCATTCGGATGTAGGTTATCTAGCTGATACACCCACTGCATTTCTGTTTGTCCAATCTTTTTGACAACATCCCCTCCTCTCCAGTGGCTTTTAACAATTGCAATCCCAATAAATGTGAGGTGCTTGTGGTCATTGCTATGCATACAGAAATGGGCTGGCACTAAGTTGTTTTTTTTTTTTTAGACCTTTTTCTACATTCCTGCAGTGTTCTGCTATTCTTGTTTTTAATGGTCTAATTGTTCACCTGTTGTGATCCTATACCCGACACGATGGGTCGTCCTGGGGGGTTATTCAAGTTCTTATGTATTTTTGGGAGACAATATATAACGAGGATCTTAGGAAATTGTATGTTCATATAGTCATATTCTTTTACGCTTAGAATCCCCATGTCTCTTCCTTTTTTGCCTTTCTTTTTTATTCATATTTGGTCTGTCTCCCATTCTTTTAGTGTCTAAAACTTTTAAATCCTTAAATACTTTATTTTCAAATATGTCCAAGGCACTGGATTTAAAATAGGCAGGATAAAAAGTGGATTTGCTCTTAAGATTACTACTTCTATATTCTTTTGTATTTTCATTACCTATATTAGCACTTTCATTAGTATTGGTATTATTTTTGTTAATATAGAAACGTTTTACGGTGGCATTCCTTACAAATTTGTTAACGTCTATATAGGCAAGGAAGGGATTATATAGTTTAGTGGGGGCGAATTTTAAGCTTCGTTTCAGAACATTGATCTCAGTTGTATTTAGAACTTTGTCCGATAGTTTGAAAATACCAGTGGGTGTCTTTTCTGATCTAAAAACCTTCTAACCTTCCTTTGTTGTTGCCTTCTGCCTGATATCCTTCCTCTAATTCTCTATTGCGGCTTTTTATAGGTGTAATATTGAGACGATGGGTCTGTCTTTCTCTGTTGGACGGAATTTCTAAAAAAGAAGTTTCATCAAATTGCTCGCAAAAGGATAAGGCATGGTATCTATTGTTTCTGATTGGATCGTGTGGTGATACTGGTCTTGTCTCATCTTGTCTTTTATAGGGTTTCTTTGGATTTTCCCAAGAGTACTTTCTATCTTTTTGTCTCTGTTTGGGGGAATCTGGTATATATGTATACCTGTGTGTTTTTGGTCTTACAATAAGGGGTGATTCATGAACACCATGGTGTGTGCGGTGTTTGTGCCTAACTTGCTCCTCTATTTTTTTCTGAATGGTGTGTGTTCGGTTTAGCCTCAAAGGTTTTGTATTGAAAGTGAGCGTTATTGTAATATTTTGTGTGAAATCTATCATTTCTTGTGATATATCGTACAGGGGATTTGTTTGGTGATCTGTAGCGATTACTTTAGTTGTGTAAATATTTTCTCTCGTGAAATTCCTTACTTTGTAATCTTCTGGGTCTAAATTGATAGCTACCGTGTGTGTTTGGATTGTAGTGCGTTCCACCGCTTTTCCATCTATTTTGAGTGTTTGATTTTTTAAATATTGTAAGTTCGAACTTGGTTCTGTGCATAATCATATTTAACTCGATTATAATTTTGAATTTTTATCCTTTTTGTATCCATTTCTGTTTTTTCTACAGTTTGATTTATTTTTTGTGATGAGTTGTAGTACTCTTCGGTATCACCAAAGGGAATCAATTGTTCTCTTAGTGTATTTATTTTTTTGTCTATTGCAGATAGCTTTTCACTTTTAACTTTGAGACTTCTCATCAATCCAAATGTGCAGAATTCTAAATGGTTACACCATTCTTCCATAAAGTTTTTATTTTCAGTGTCTGATGTGGGCATCTTAAATAATCTGAGGCCTCTAGGGGTTATTTTCTCTTCTATATATTTAGTCAGTGTTGCTATCTCCCACCTTAATTTCATTTCTTTTGTTAAGGAAAATTCAAATTCTTTTAGTAATTCTTGTATCGAAGACAATTAGTGGTTCATTTGTGTTCATTTCTCCCAAACCTTCCAATTCATTAAAGACATCATTAATATTAATGCAAACATTAGGGTTGGCGAAGCATCATGGGTGGTGTAGTTCTATAAACTCTTGAATCGACCTCTAGATATCCTTGTGACTTGAATCTAGATAGAGACATTACAGGGAGTGCAGAATTATTAGGCAAGTTGTATTTTTGAGGATTAATTTTATTATTGAACAACAACCATGTTCTCAATGAACCCAAAAAACTCATTAATATCAAAGCTGAATATTTTTGGAAGTAGTTTTTAGTTTGTTTTTAGTTATAGCTATGTTAGGGGGATATCTGTGTGTGCAGGTGACTATTACTGTGCATAATTATTAGGCAACTTAACAAAAAACAAATATATACCCATTTCAATTATTTATTATTACCAGTGAAACCAATATAACATCTCAACATTCACAAATATACATTTCTGACATTCAAAAACAAAACAAAAACAAATCAGTGACCAATATACCCACCTTTCTTTGCAAGGACACTCAAAAGCCTGCCATCCATGGATTCTGTCAGTGTTTTGATCTGTTCACCATCAACATTGCGTGCAGCAGCAACCACAGCCTCCCAGACACTGTTCAGAGAGGTGTACTGTTTTCCCTCCTTGTAAATCTCACATTTGATGATGGACCACAGGTTCTCAATGGGGTTCAGATCAGGTGAACAAGGAGGCCATGTCATTAGATTTTCTTCTTTTATACCCTTTCTTGCCAGCCACGCTGTGGAGTACTTGGACGCGTGTGATGGAGCATTGTCCTGCATGAAAATCATGTTTTTCTTGAAGGATGCAGACTTCTTCCTGTACCACTGCTTGAAGAAGGTGTCTTCCAGGAACTGGCAGTAGGACTGGGAGTTGAGCTTGACTCCATCCTCAACCCGAAAAGGCCCCACAAGCTCATCTTTGATGATACCAGCCCAAACCAGTACTCCACCTCCACCTTGCTGGCGTCTGAGTCGGACTGGAGCTCTCTGCCCTTTACCAATCCAGCCACGGGCCCATCCATCTGGCCCATCAAGACTCACTCTCATTTCATCAGTCCATAAAACCTTAGAAAAATCAGTCTTGAGATATTTCTTGGCCCAGTCTTGACGTTTCAACTTGTGTGTCTTGTTCAGTGGTGGTCGTCTTTCAGCCTTTCTTACCTTGGCCATGTTTCTGAGTATTGCTCACCTTGTGCTTTTGGGCACTCCAGTGATGTTGCAGCTCTGAAATATGGCCAAACTGGTGGCAAGTGGCATCGTGGCAGCTGCACGCTTGACTTTTCTCAGTTCATGGGCAGTTATTTTGCGCCTTGGTTTTTCCACACGCTTCTTGCGACCCTGTTGACTATTTTGAATGAAACGCTTGATTGTTCGATGATCACGCTTCAGAAGCTTTGCAATTTTAAGAGTGCTGCACCCCTCTGCAAGATATCTCACTATTTTTGACTTTTCTGAGCCTGTCAAGTCCTTCTTTTGACCCATTTTGCCAAAGGAAAGGAAGTTGCCTAATAATTATGCACATCTGATATAGGGTGTTGATGTCATTAGACCACACCCCTTCTCATTACAGAGATGCACATCACCTAATATGCTTAATTGGTAGTAGGCTTTCGAGCCTATACAACTTGGAGTAAGACAACATGCAGAAAGAGGATGATGTGGTCAAAATACTCATTTGCCTAATAATTCTGCACTCCCTGTAATGTAATTTACATGCAGGGCATCTTTATAAAACCTAGTAACTATTTTAAACCATAAATGACCCATAAGTAACTTTTAGTTGACATTCTTACACAATGAAGGGATGTCACCTTACTAGAAGGTATGGCATTTTAGATTTTTCCCTTGTATTGTTGGTAAATCTTTTCTTTGTCTCCTATCCTGGAGGGGCTCACTACAGTCTTGCTTTCTGGGACCAGTCCCACCATCCTGATTTAGTTTCACCTATTATTTTGCATGTGGGGAACCTAGGGAACTGTCCCCCAAACCATTTTAATGCATGCACTCTCTGCGTGGTCCTGCATGAAGGGATGGCGGAGAGGAGTGCTTGACATGGGGCTGACATGTCCTCTTCAGTGGGCGGGCACTCCTAATTCCCAGAGGACCTGGTCATGATGGGTTTTGCCAGTGACGCAAGTTGCCGGCAATGACCCCTAGAAGGTCCTCCCACCCCTTCCGATTACATATCTCTCAATGTTGGGAGGTGTGTGTTGAAGCCTTCTGTATTTATTTATTTATTTTTATTTTTGTTCAACTCAGCACTTTTAATGATTCTGAGAAATTATTTAGTCACACCTCTAGCACTCAGCTGGTTAATGATTTGTGCATGTTTAGCATATAAATAAAAAGTGTAGTAAAGTTCTGAAATCAATCCTGAACTTTATTATGTATGTATAAACAAGATATAGTATCTGGAAGTTGATAAGCTTAGACTATTGCAATAACCAGTCCCTCCTACCAAGAATTCCTAAGTAGAGAGTTCAGTTTATTTTGCAACGTGGAGCTCAGGCAAAGTGCCAAGGCCAAGGCATTAACCCGTGCCCTACAAGATGCTTTTAATGCTTCATGGTATTTAAAGGCTGCATACATTTTTAAAGAACACAACACACAATCCGAGGGTACTTACCAATGTGAGGAATGTTGGGAATTCTTGCTCATAAACTAAAGCCTCTTGTGCAGTCACTCATTTCACTGCTCCACTGCTTATTGTGAAGATATATATGTAATAGTCTCCTGACTCTGGAGCATAGTGTGTCAATATTAAATGCCTCTCTTAACCTTAAAGACCAATAACTGTGTATGTTGTCAAAACAATTTGTCCTTCAAAGGAACATCCATTTGGGGAAATAAAAAAAAAAAATACATGTTCAGTAGATGTAACCCAAAGAAAGCATACATGTATTATTTTGTATTTCTGTGCCGGTGTATTCTCCAATCAGAAACTTCTGTAAAGCTCATTTAGAGGGAGCTTAGCGCTCCTGAAGCTTCCTTTTTTAGCTCCGTGGAACTAACAGAATTGATAGAAAACCTTCGTAGCTATATAAGTGACAGTCAGGAATGATTCTTCTACCGCCAATTGCCAAGAACTGCCGGATATATAAAACACTTCAGTATGGAGTGACTGTTTAACCCATTAAGGACACATGACATGTGTGACATGTCATGATTCCCTTTTATTCCAGAAGTTTGGTCCTTAAGGGGTTAAACACCTTTGGCCGCCTTTCTTTTCCTCACTTACAACCCTGGTTGTTTTCGTTACTAGATTAACTAACTTGTGTAATGATTGCTAAAATTGTTTCATATCTAGCAAGAACATTGATGTGTAATATGTTGACAAATTATTAGAAATTTCCGTGGAGACATTTATGTGGGTGTTCAAATACCTCAATATTGGCACATGTATCTGGTGTAATATTAAGCCATGCCATTTCCTAATTTCAAATTTCCCAAGAAATAAGGCAACACATGTTTTTTTAACATTTTCATCATTTTTAAAAGGAAGCAAATTGTCCTTCTAGTATTGTGCGACTAAAGTGGAAGATTTGGACATTCTTTCTCACTTCAATATCTATTGGAATCGGGAGTGGGGGGTGGAGGGGTTTACAAGCAATTCAAATGTTGTGTGAGTTATAAACACTCTATTACAATCAATCTCACTCACTGATATATCATGTAAGGAATTAGGTGAAAAGCCAGTTGAAAATTATTTAAAACTAAACAATTTCACATTAAATGTGCTTGGCTTTTTTAGAATGTAGTTGTGATTTTAGAATAAAGTTACTTATTTCATTGTACGCCATTGTACTCTTTGACATACGAATCTTCAGACCTGAGAATTGCAACCTACCAAGTTATTGCTTGTCCGTGTTCTTATATTCTCTGATTTTGTTTGAGATTACTTCAATTATTTTTATTTTGTTTAATGATATCCTTGTACATACCTATAGTTCTATGTTTATCCATTTAAATTAGACAATTTAACCATTAGTATCTGTTTAATCTGTTCCCTGCAGTTTGCAAAATGTCTGGCCCGGTATATACACGAACAAAACATTCATGATTTAAAGGTTTGGACCAGTCAGATGAAGAGAACTATTCAGACAGCAGAAGCCTTGGGAGTTCCCTACGAGCAGTGGAAAACGTTAACTGAAATTGATGCTGTAAGCCGACTTTAATCATTTATCTTTTTAACATTTCCCCTGACATTACCTAATTTGTGCTTGAAATGGTTTAGGAAATTCCAATTTTCAAAAAAAAGCAGGGTAGATTGTTGATTTTGCTGGGGTTTACATTATTGCATAATGTTTTTACTGGATTTGTTTTAAAACTAAAATTTGGATTTTGTTTTTTTTAAACATTATTTTTCCTTCAAAGTCTAGCCTGGTCTGTTGTCCTTTATTTTTAGACCCTTTAATGTGGATCACTTGGTAAAATAAAAATCTCCATGTCCTAAGTTTCATATATTGTACTGAAAATGTAATGACCAAATGGTTTTTAACCTTGTAATCTGGATTAGTAGCTGGCATAAGAAATATATATTTTTTAAAAATAAATCCCTCTGTTTTTTTGGGGGGGGGTGGAGTTTCATTCATTGGTAGCACAATAACTGATTAAGATATTCGTAATATTCTTCATTACATCTTTGTAATTTAGCCTGAGCATGTTCTGGAGCCAATGACAAATGTCTGGCCTGCCTGTACTAGCCTTTCCTGTTAATTCTGCCTCTTTCCACACAAAGTACCTACCGTAGATAGGTAATATCCATAGATTAGGACTGTAACATTTTCAACATGATCTCCCTCTCTTTGTTCAGGGAGTGTGCGAGGAAATGCGTTATGAAGAGATCCAGGAATCCCATCCGCTGGAGTTTGCTCTGCGCGATCAGGATAAATACAGATACCGATACCCAAAAGGCGAGGTAAGTTGGAATCTGAGTGTGAAGGCAGATGGTTGAACCCAGAGACCAAATAGTACTTTGAAACCTAGAAACCTAAGCAACAATGAGCAATAGTAGGTCTTAAATATGTCTGTGTAATTACTGAAATGGATTTCTGATGGTCAGTTTATAGTCAAAGTGATAACAATCACACATTTATTTTTATGACAACACATGTCACGTTCAGTTCAGCAAATAAAGGGCCCCAATGCCTTTATGTTAAGCAATTAAGCCATCATTAAGGCATCTTAATCATTCTAGGTAAGATTTATCAAGGCATTATTGGAGCAATCATTTCACATCATTTATTTATAAGGAAAACTGTCCGTTTTTATTTGATTTTTTTTTTAATAAGAATCCTTGCACATGTAATACAAAGATATGGCTTTTTAAAAAAGGAAGTATGTGTAGAAAAAGTACCTGAAAATCTCGCACCTACACATGCTGCAAGGATTCTTATAAAAATAAAAAATAAAAATGTTCTGGTGACCTTCAGTTGGCCTTCAAAACTACCATAAAGGACTTGATAATTTACTTACAACACTTTTCAACTCATTAACTAACAAATACCCCACAGATGATCAAAGATAACAGTTTTGCACATGAACAAAAATACCACATACATCTGAAATGTGTGGACGTTTCAAGTGCCATCTGTAACTCCAACGATGCACCTGATGGCAGGGAATTAGATCTACGGTCTATAAACCACAACCTGTGATGTAATCGGAAAGGACGCAAAATCACCATTTTGTTTGTTGCGGATTTCAGAATCTTGACATATCTGTTTCTAGATTGTGTATATAACTTTGAAAACAAACATTTAGCTGATAAAGGTTTCTTACTTCAGCATTGTCAATAAAAAAAAAAAAAGTGTTAAAATATTTTTGGAGTGCGAACATGCAATACTTGAGGAGGTCCAGAAATGTCAAGTTAAAGACTGCTTGCAGCTGCAAGCGCTGCAGGATTAGTCTCAACACAGGGGCTCTGCTATCGACGAAAAACATCTCTCCTATTTGACCGGATGTGTCAATACACCTGTTTGGATTGTAGATAGAAGAGTTTGGGGATAGTTCTTATTTGTTTTCTTTGGCTTTTTATTATTTTATTATTTTTCAAGCACAGCTTGGTTTTACTCCAAGCAGAGATCAGGGATATGTAGAAGTAGTGAGATTTTCCATTTTCTGCAAAATTTACTAGATAGCTGAGGGAGTTTTCAGGCTTTATTGGTTACGAAATCTGTTATGTTTTGTCATCTGTTGCTGCTTTTGCACCATAGCAGCCATTTTTTTTTAAATGGATGCCATTTTGCTTCATTACAGTCCTACGAAGATCTAGTGCAGCGTCTCGAACCAGTCATAATGGAGCTTGAGCGACAAGAGAATGTTTTGGTTATCTGTCACCAGGCAGTCATGAGGTGTCTGCTGGCATACTTCCTAGATAAGACTGCAGGTAAAGACCACTGCAATTAGCCATCTGGATGCTTCCATTAAAGTATTTGCTGAGAACATTTTAAGCCTTCCATTTAGCACATGGGAAAAACAAAAGAGGAAATACCTTAAATGAGTAGTTCCCAAACCAGTCCTCGATCCAGCAATGGCCAGGATTTGTTTATCCCTTTTCTATTCCAGTGAAGATACTGATAAAGCTTGAACAGTAACTGGTCATGAGAACTAATTTGGGAACCACTGCCTTTAAGGGACACTTAAGGAAGCAAAACTAGAAACCTTTAACATGAAAAATAATCGTCTGTGTATCTGAAAGTTAGTTGATTAGTAGTTTTAAAAAAACAAAGTTCAAAACTTTTGTAACTTCCCCTCCTTCGCGTCTTTTTTTTCCTTCAATGGGAAGTGTAGAGATTAATACCAGAGAATATACAGTAGTATGCTATATAGGTTAAATACACACAATTTGCATTTAAAATAGAAGGGGCTTCCATGTGTACAATAGAAATGAAGTGGGAGCCACTTGCACATGAGGTATTCCATCTATTTGGGGAAACACTGAGTGTGTGCATGTCTATTTTCATAAATGTGTGTCTGATTAGTAATTCCCCTAGTAAAATTTTCAGATGCAGGACTAGATTAATGTCCCAGCCTAGTCCTGGTTACAGTGCGTGATTTTATTTAATAATAAATTTAAAAAATAAAGTCATATAAAAACAGGATGTCATTTGAGACACTGCCAATTGACCTGACCTTTAGCTACCTCTATGCTAATCTTGACTCATGTTAGAAAATTGCCATCAATGAGCTTGTTAAACCAAAGTAATTTAAACATTTTATAAAGTTGATACATGTATGTAAGCATGCTTTCATCTTGGACTTTAGCTGCTAGACCATGAGCACTATACACCAGTATATTTTCTTTTCCAGAAGAGCTGCCTTATCTCAAATGCCCCCTGCACACCGTTTTGAAACTCACACCTATTGCCTATGGTAAGAAAATAATTGCTACCTTTATATTATGTCTTGTCCAACAGCGCCACCTACTGTTCAATTGTTAAACATTCTATTTTTAAACATATATATAATTTTTGCTTCTCTGCTTCCTTCCATATATGTCTAAGGCTGCAAAGTGGAACCTGTCCATTTGAATGTTGAAGCTGTGAATACCCATAGGAATAAGCCCGAGGTAAGGCCTAAATATACTTTTTGTATGGGATGATATCATATGTAAGCTCGTTTGAGCAGGGTCCTCATCTACCTATTGTTCCTGTGTAATTGTCTCATTTATTGTAAATTTCCCCCCCTTTCATAATATTGTAAAGCACTGCAGAATTAGTTGGCGCTATATAAATACCAATAATAATGTCTTATTGGGATCTGTATTTGGATATTAAACTTCTATTTAGTTTGAAAATAGGGTCTACGATATACACCTGGATCAGCCAACATCTGTGGTTAACACATGGCGCAAACTGCACCTGATCTATCCTGTTTCAGTGCATGATGGCTGCAAGGCCATGAAAACACACCTCTAGAGATACAAGTTCATTAGTTTAGCCTTCTCACAAAGTACAAATTAAAGTCTGAATCCTGTTTTAATGCATTAAAATACTTTAACTGTATTGTAACCATTTATCCATCTTCCAGTTTATATTGTGTCTCACACCTTTACCAGTCCATGCTTGTATAGTCATCACTTCTACGCCACGGCATTGATAAGATGTTGTGCTTCATTGTGTCTGTGATTCTGCTTGTAGAACGTAGATATATCTCGGCCACCAGAAGCTGCCCTGGTTACTGTGCCCGATCCCCACGGACCATCCAACCCGGGTGCTGATTTTATCATTTATCTATTGCTTCTAAAACCAGCTGTCCATGATATTAAATTATCCCAATCCTGCACCAATTTGCAATTCAGGCAATTAATTTATCAAAATTTATATTTAAAAAAAAAAATAAAATTAATAATTCTAAAATAATAAACCTGTAATTACTTGTTTAAAGGAAATGTTCTGTATATTTTAAAGGTTCTCTACAAATACCAATCTGTGTTATTTTGGTCATTAAAGCATTGAGACTTGCAATAGGCAAGGCATTGAACCTGTCCAGGAAGTGAGTGGGGGAAAAAAAATCATTTTGTTTTTGTAGTGAGTTAAGCTGCACGTAACCGTGAGTCCTGATGATCATAGGGTTATTTACCAATAGGATTATTCATTAAAGTTAGAATTGCCAGGATTTCAATGAATTGCAAATTTAAGGCCAAAATAGCCGAATGGAAAAAACTCTCCAGTTTGGCGACTTTGCCCTCAAATTTGAAATTCCCTTTAATTTCCGGACAGTTCTCACTTCACTGTATAACCTGTAAAGTGTACATTCTTAGGATTTCAACTGAGCTTTTTAGGTCACAATAGCTCAATTGGGAAATATCCACCATTTCTAATTTGATTATTGGAGCCTAAAGTATAAAATTCACTTTAAACGCTTGAAAATGTGCAAGTTGGTAAGTTTACACCAGACCGGGATATTCGCTGCCGTGTTGAGCTGTCTGCTCTTCTAGCAGTTATTCACCAAATTTCATTTTAAATTTGAGACCAAAGTAGCAAATCTGGAAGCATAGCTCAGTAATAGAATTTATTTTCAGTTCAGCTACTTTCACCTTAAAGGACAACTGTCATTTCAACAATATATATATATATATATATATATATATATATATATATATATATATATATATTTTTTTTTTTTTTTTTTATATAATAATCCTTTCATCAAGTTGTGAGAGGAAATAAATTTGGTGTTTAAATTATGTATGTGTAAAAAAAATAAAAAAGAAAAAAAGAGAAACTGATCCTATTATATGCCATTTGTATATACTAGGATACATACACTTTGGGTCAGACAGTGTTTTAAACACCTCTATTCTGTCTCTATGGTCTCCTCAGCTTCAATCCCTGCGCAGTGACATCATCAAACAACTGTCCGTTTCAAACACTGTCTGACCCAAGGTGTATGCAAATGGCTGAAGGATCCTGTCATATACAGCAGAAATGGATATATATTTTTCTCACTTTAAATTTTTTTTAAAAATCTAGGCCTTTTCAATACTTGATGAAAGGATCATTATATTAAAAAAATGTTTTTAGGTGACCGTGCACCTTTAAAGGGACACTACAGTCACCAGAAAAACTACAGTTTATTGTATTTGTTCTGGCAAGTAGAATCATTACCCTTTGCAGTAAACACTGTCTTTTCAGAGCAAATGCAGTATTTACATTACAGCCTAGTGATAACTCCACTGGCCACTCCTCAGATGGCTGTTAGAGGTGCTTCCTGGGGCAGCACTGCCATTCAGTATCTCCACCCTCTGCATGGAGACACTGGACCTTCCTCATAGAGATGCATTGATTCGACTAGAAAAGCCAAAATTTTGGGGGGAAATTGTGTGAAGGGTTCTTGCCTCCACATTAAAACATACATTTATAAAAACATTAGCAGGTGTACAAAAGGCCCTGTCTATGACATCACTTGCTGCTCCAGCCTGGCACAGGTCAGAGTATTTTGGCGGTTGCCATATTCAAACGGTCGTATTTTAAAAACTATACACCCTACAGCGCTTTATATTGTGAGAATCACAAGACCCAGACCTACATTTTGATGCATAGTATGTCTCTGAAGTATTAAAAATGAAGGCACAGTCGCAGTTTAGAAATTGCCCTTCAAGTTTGAGCTGGCTAGAGTGGAGTTTCAATGAATGTCAATGGACGACGTGAGTTGCAAACAAATGGTCATATTGTGAAAACTATCAGGACTATGGCTTAGCCGTGGACATTTCTAGTGGCAGCAGGGATAGCTGAACGTTTTGATATAAGATGGTGTAAGTGGGCTTCAAAATGAGGGAGTGGTGGCAGTTTAGAAATCATGTCCTGAATTTTCTGCTTTTGCCAGATCCCACTCTAGTTTTGAACATTTTGCTATTCATTCCTATGGGACCAATTTCTCCACAAGAACAACGATATTCCATGAACCATTCGGCGAAATGTTCCACAAAGTAATAGCAATCCAGTCGGGAACAATCCGCACGTTTCGGTATATTTCTGTCTATGTAGTGTAAAAACTGTGGGAGGAGTTAGTGTCGTAAATTTGGCTATAATAAGAATAAGAACTAGAAAAGCTACAATTTCTGGGGAAATTGTGTGAAGTGTTCTTGCCTCCACCAGTAGTCTACTATCATTTATATAGCACATTTAATTGCAACGTTGTTGCACAGTTACATTAAACCATACATTTATAAAAACATTAGCAGGTGTTCAAAAGGCCCCGTCTATGACATCACTTGCTACTGCAGCCTGGCACAGGTCAGAGTATTTGGGCGGTTGCCATCTTCAAACGGTCGTATTTTAAACACTATAAATCCTACAGCGAAGAGCTTTATATCGTGAGAATCACAAGACCCAGACCTACATTTTGATGCATAGTATGTCTCTGAAGTATTAAAAATGAAGGCACAGTCGCAGTTTAGAAATTGCACTTCAGATTTGAGCTTTGTAGAGTGAGGTTTCAATGAATGTCAATGGACGGCGTTAGTTGCAAACAAATGATTATATTGTGAAAACTATCAGGACTATGGCTTAGCCGTTGACATGTTTAGTGGCAGCAGGGATAGCTGAACGTTTTGATATAAGATTTGTGTAGGTGGGCCTGAAAATAAGGGAGTGGTGGCAGTTTAGAAATCATGTCCTGATTTTTCAGCTTTTGCCAGCTCCCACTCTAGCTTTGCCATTCATTCCTATGGGACAAATTTCGCCACAAGAACGATGATATTCCGTGAACCATTCGGCGAAACGTTCCACAAAGTAATAGCAATCCGATCGGGAACAATCCGCACGTTTCGGTATATTTCTGTCTATGTAGTGTAAAAACTGTGGGAGGAGTTAGGGTCGTAAATTTGGCTATAATAAGAATAATAATAATATATGTGAGATAACATTAAGTGGTCTTGCTATGCAAGAACACTTAATTAATATCTAAGAGGAGATGCTGATTGGCCATGGCTGTGTTTGACTTGTGCTGGCTCTGCCTCTGATCTGCCTCCTTGACGGTCTCAGCCAATCCTATGGGAAAGCATTGTGACTGGCTCAGGCCACCACTTTTGATGTCAGGGAAGCAGGCAGATCAGGGGCAGAGGCAGCAGCTGCAGACTTAAATACAAGTAAGATTTTACCATACTTAGGGAGGCAAGGAGGTGGGGGGTTGTGATTTTTAACACTTTAGATTGTAATTTCAACACTCTAGGATCAGGAATACATGTTTGTGTTTCTGACCCTATAGTGTTCCTTTAAATGTGAAATTTACTTTGAATTCTCACTCTAGTGAATAATCTGGTATATGTATGTATCTGTTCCCTTTGTGTCTGTGTGCATTATGGTTACTGTCATTCTCACTATTTTCTACCTATGTATCTATGTGCCTCTCTGCTTGTTTAGACTTCTTGCTAAAAATAAAAGAATGATCCATGTGATTGCCTAGGGTAGAATAGTGTCTGTCAAAGTTCTAAAAGTCATTTCAGCTAGAGAAAACCCCTCCTGTGATGCCAATAAAATGTAATTTTTTTTTTTACTAGATACAGCCAAACTAACACAGATTGATGAGTTTAACGGTGATATATTCTATTTATTGTGGAACATCTCCTTTAAAGCACATGCATTTAATTTATAACATATAAGATTTAATATCTGTGATGGCTTAATGTGCGTCTAACAGCTGATATATAGCTTTAATATTTAACGTATTTATTTTTAGAATGTTGACGTGGACCGCTCCAGTGAAGAAGCATTGCAGACTGTACCCAATCACCTCTAGCCTTGGGCTTGACCCGCCGCCCCCTATTTTCTGGTTCATAATCACCTGGCAGTTCAAGGGTTCAATAATTTGTCCACAAAATCAACAGCTCTTTATCATTCCAGTCCGGTGTAAACATCCTCATCCTACAAATATAAACACTCCAACTACATTTTATTTTAAACTTTTACTTTTTTTTTTTTTTTTTTACATTTTTATTTTTAGATCTTTTTTTTTTAACCCTATTTGAAAGTTTTAGCAATGGTTATATAATTTTTATAATACATGAAAAATGAATACTGCATTATGTGCCGATTCTTTATGCTGCTATCAACAGAATTTTTTCACAAGTGTATTGTGTTCATTGGGTACCAATGTGTACAAAGCTCAATGCCGAGTAATAACTGCAGAGAGGGATTCTAGAGTCAGCTGATGTGGATTGACATTCTATACCAGGGATAGGCAACCTTCAGCACTCCAGATGTTGTGGACTACATACCCCATAATGCTCTTACACCCATAATGCTGGCAAAGCATCATGGGAGGTGTAGTCAAAAACATCTGGAGTGCCGAAGGTTGCCTATGCCTGGTCTATAACATAATTTTTCACATACAAGGAGTCTGTGTAAGTAAAATAGATTACATAAACCAGTTTCACTGATTTTTTTTTTCATTTTTTTTGTTTTTGTTTTGTTTTTTTAGCACATGTAAACATCTATACCTTATAGGCTTCCCTTCCTGGTGCATTAATATCAGATGCATGCTCCTTTTGTCAGTCCTCACTGGGTGTAATTTGACTGCTGGCTGATATGATCTCAGCCATTAATCAAGTAACCTATTGTGAAGTTTGAGGCAATGACACACTGACTGCTAATTCTGATATTGACACCATGAAGTGAAACTCATAAGGTAAGGAATCCTCCTACATTTAAACATAACAAAATTATAAAATTACACATTATAAGAAATGAAAAAGATTGAAAACAATGTAGTTCCTTATGGAAATAAAAATAACTAGTCTGCATTAGGAATATTTATTTTAGGGTAGAGTTGTTTCATTAACCTAGGTTGTGATATCTCCAGCATAATGATGAATTCGTATTGGTTTTATAATCCTAATCTGCAGCTAAATACTCAATTGCAATATTGTATTATTTATTTTTTGAAACGGAGTTGGCATGGATTTTATTTTTTGAATTTGTATTTTTTGTCTAAAATCTGCTAGGTACTGTTCATTCACATTTCAGTGAGCGTTCTACCAGCTGTTGCTTGGAGCATGTGCTGTGAGATTAATGAAACATCACAACCTCTGCACACAGCCAGCGTATGGTAGTGGTTATGGTTATTTCAAATGGCTTTCAATAGCCTTTAGACTCCGTGGCACCCAGTGTTCATCCTCAGCTTGAGACGTCATTATGTCCTTATTATGCTTTGTACACGATTATTCACAAAATTGCGAATTTGGGGGACATTTGTAAAAAGACACCTTGGAATTCTTAGCACTCATACTTTAGTAAATTAGGAAGTTCAGGCGATGCAGAATCACTGCATGACTCCTCTGTCTTCTCCTGTTTTTGTGAAAACGAGAATGTATGTTAAGTTTCGATGCCGGATTCTATTGTGAACTAATATTAACCGCAGCAAACCCTTGTCTGCAAAGCCTTTACAACAGGAAAATGTTTCCGACGTTCAATGGACTTCTATTACCGTACAACTGTATTTTATGTCTGCACAGTCACCAATGGGTGGCGCTCTGCACAAATGTATCACTTTTCTTATTCCGTCCGTCTATCTCTGCATTAAAAAATCTGTTAATTTCTGCATGTATGAAAGAGGAAGTATTCATCATATACACGTGTGCAATATGTACAGGTCTTTTTCTTGCAGATTAACACCATTGCAACAAGGGTTAAATACTAATTTTAAAATAAGTAAAATAAATATATAATATATACACATGCAGTGTGTGAATACATTCAAACCATCAGTTTTTATACTTTTTAATTTTATTTTTATATACACTCATGTGTTGTTATTAAAAAAAAAAAACAACTAATCTCAAAACACAATGCTTAATGGATTCACCTTACCCAGGGTATATTTAGTATAAAGCCTGGTACAGAACTTGTTTGATCATCCTTCCAGAGTGGAGGTTATGTCAGATACAGACCCTGCGGTATTGTCCAGAAGCTATAGATAGAATTATTCTCTGCGAATGTAATACTTTTTTTTCATATGCAAAATTGCTTCTTGACTGTGTTTGTAATTACAAAGCTGCTTTAAACTTGGATGCAAAAGTAAAGTACAATCAATCTGTGTGTTTCTAGTCTCTTTTATTTCTTTATTTATTTCGTAAAGGGACCCATTGCTTGTACACTTGTACCATAATTCTTTATAAAACATTAACAAAGTACATAGCACTATCAATAGGTAAACAAAGCAATCACATTATGACAATACTTTTACAAGCAAATTAAATACATTAAAAAACTCCTATACTAGCCTGCTGATTAATCATGCAGGTCTGCTTCTTTTATGCTTTAAGGGACACAATTAATCTTATTGAAGTGGTTATAGTGCATGGAGTCCCCTGATGGTCTTAGTCCATTTAGGGTTAAACCGTTTTGACCAAATGACAGCCCTTAGCTGCCTATGTCCTAGCTCAGGCATAGGCAACCTTCGTCACTCCAGATGTTTTGGACTTCACCTCCCATAATGCTTTTATGGGGGATGTAGTCCACAACATCTGGAGTGCCGAAGGTTGCCTATCCCTGTCCTAGCCCATAGTGGAGAGATGGCTACAGTGGAGCTTACACTCTGGTAGACTGTTGGTACCAATTGGTATGGCTAAGGCAATCACAATCTACCTTTCAAAATGGATTTCACATGGGGAGATGGCACCAAGTGACCCCAGTCATTATGCTCACTTCGATGAGTTGAAATGGTTAAAATGCCTAGAGTGACGCTGTTTATGGTTTTCATCCTGTTTAATATGAACAGTGGTGGATAAGGAAGCTGATAGGGCTGACTTTTACACATGGTAAATTATTTTTTATAGCTGGTGCTGTTGAAACAGTTTTTCCATTTGTTACATTGTAGTCCTATACCATTTTGAATGTTTTTTTCTAAGCAGATACAACAATCTAAACACAAGCAGTCAGCTGTGAGCCTGTGCCTTCTACAATGAGTTGGTCAGGGGGCCAATTAGATCATTACAGCTTTTACCATAGTCTTGTGTAAGAAATTATCCCATTATTACAGTCTATCTACACGTGTGATTAACAAACCTGTATAAAGTGAGAATAAACAAACTACTTAATTTTAGAATATCAATACCTGTCAAACATACCTCTAGAATATAGCCTTATAATCAAAATAAAACTTTATTGGACTTTACTACTGTCATTTACCGCAGATTCCACTGCCTCCTCCATCCAAGCCCACAGGAACTAGGCCCCCTGTTATTACTAAACAGCTATAGTTGCCGAGTTATAGGTTTAAATATGGTTGGTACAGGGGATAGTCGGATATAAAACCTCTCTTATAGTAACACAGAGGTCTTGACTCCCATAGATATTTTGATATTTTTTTTTATTTTTAACGTGTTGGATTACTAGCAAGTGCTAAACAGTCACCACTGGGTTAACCCTTGCACTGCTGAGGGTTATTTACCAATTTGCCCGCTGGCTGCTAATGGGCAAATAGTACTTAAAATGAACAATCCACTTGCACGTTCATTTGCAAATAGAAAACACGATAAGTAGAGCACTTTTATTACAAATCCCAAAATAGCACCCCTTCATATAACATACAACTCAATGGTTCAGGTCACTTTAAAAAGCCTCTTCAGTGTTTTCACAGAACAAAAATAGTGCAATATTGCCAAAATAAAAAAAAATATATCTTTTAAAACAAAAAAGCAAATGTAGCAGTTTATACAGCTTTTATGTTTCATATACTTAGTGATCTCTCTGATACACAGAAAAAAAATACAACTCTTAATTACTGAAGAGAGGTAAGTGCTATTTTATAAGAGACAATGCGTCTTAGATGTGTGAGCTACATTTAAATGCTCCTTTTCCAGTGAGTGCGTTACATTTTGTTATATATATATATATATATATATATATATATATATATATATATTGCAATAGCCTCCTTGGGATAATCTGCACTAGAGGGTTCTCTGTGAGAAAATTGCAAGAGTGGAGGTGAATATTGGACATGTTACTGACTACAAAAGCTCTTAAAGGGAAAGCAACAAGGAACTCAAATACAAACGCTCTACTGACTCAGAGCTGGTCTTAAAGCTCACTAGTATGTGAGTAGGAGTCCAATACAGTTTCTTTAGGTGTTTTTTTTTTTTTTTTTATTGGCAATATTGATTGCACTATATTTAAGAGGAGACCTCTTAAATTGATAATAAGAACAATTGAGTAATATGTTATATGAAGGTGTGCCATTTGGGGTTTTGTAAGAAAAGTGCTCCACTTGTTTTCTTTTTCCGTTTGGTGTAACACTGAGGATGAGATCCACAAGTGTGTTGACTGGATGGTAGCCCATGTATTCAAGGACTTCTCAATCATTTCTCTTACTGTATGTTTTCAATCGCTCTTTACAGCGTACATGCCATCATAGCTACCCTCCCATCTATTTTTATTAAAATGCTCTTACGTCTTCACGGTGAAAGTCTACTATGTGTATAGACCTCACCACCACTACCCCCACCAGACGGGCCTATTCACTAGGCGAGTCTCGAGGCTCCACTCCTAGGAGCCAAGTTGGGTGTGTCACCCACCAGTTTTTCCAGTCCTACCCCACCCATCTCCGTCCTACCCCTTCTCTCCCCCAGTCACGAACCCAAAGGCTGGTACAGCAGAACCACCGTAAACATACCAAACTGACATGCTGCAATGAACCAGCAGCAATGAGACCCAAGCTTCATAGCATCCTTTCCCTATCTATGCACCCAAGGTTAAGATACTAACGTATAATGTAAAAGGATTAAACTCCCCGGGTAAACGCAGGCTATTATTGCAAGACCTGAAAAAAGAGGAGATAGACGTCGCGTGTATTCAGGAAACACACTTCACCAACACTCGAACCCCTGCAATCTACACAAAAATTTATCCAGCACAATATCATGCCACTTCTGATAAAAAGACGAAGGGAGTCTCTATTCTCATACATAAAGCCATAGCATTTCAAGAACAAGTAGTCTCTATAGACCCCCAGGGAAGGTATGTAATCCTAGTGGGTCTCTTCAATAATGTCCAATATACATTGGCCTCTGTATATTTCCCCAACACTGGATCAGAAAAATTCCTCAGACTCATACTCAAAGAGATAGATAAAGTGAGACGGGGGATTGGTGTTGTGCGGGGATTTTAACTTTATAATATCCCCGGACTTAGACTCAACAGCACTCCCAAGAGGCACTAGACGAGCAAGTATAGTATCCACAGGCAAAAAACTGTCCAGATTACTTACACTACATAACCTGTATGACAGTTGGAGAATACTCCATCCAAGAGAACGGGATTATTCCTTCCACTCCAAAGTACATAATACCTACACCCGCATAGACATCTACTACGTGGACCAATCCACATTAGCACAGGTAGCCAAGTGTACGATGGGAGACATTACGTGGTCTGACCACGGCCCGGTGTCCCTGGATCTGTATGATAAATTTCAGTTCAAAGGTAGAGGGAACTGGAGGCTAAACGAGTCCCTATTACAAGATAGTAACTTCGTGGACCAAATAAAGGTTGAACTTAACAACTACTTTCAGACAAACTCTGATGGGGAAACATCGGCCTTGACCATCTGGTCGGCCCATAAGGCCGTTGTTCGTGGTTTATTTATTAAACAATCCTCGTATCTTAAAAAGCACAGACAAGCGACTATAATGGACTGCCAACGGCAATTAGCAAACTTAACTGCCCAAAACAAATGCACCCCCTCCCGAGCCCTTGCACTACAAATCCAAAATCTACTAGATAAACTTACCGAATTGCAGGCGGCCAAAACCTCATACCTGCTACACAAACTCAAAGCGACCCACTACCACCACCACAGCGGGAAAGCCACCAAACAACTAGCTAACAGGCTAAGAGCAAAGCTAGCAGCCACCAAAATAGCACATATACAGGGCCCAGAGGGTAGCAGAATACAAAACCCAATAGATATCACTCAGGAGTTCGCCAACTACTACTCTGGCCTATATAATTTGGGCGACAGACCAGATACCCCCCCCATCCAGGATGGTAACATTACGGAGTTTCTAACTCGTCTACCCCTTCCTAAAATAAATCGTCACCAAATAGAACAATTGTAGCGGAGAGGCAGTATGATCCACGATATCTCCGCTGGGTAACAGGAACAACAAAGGATAATCCAGGGAATCAGCATATAATAATCCAAACAGCACTGCAGTAACCCTTCCTTCCCAAGAACTAGACGACACATAGGCTGGGAGTCAACTCGGGTTTTAATCACAGGTCACAGTATTTATGCAATTCCCCATGCAAGGGGTTTCCAAACAGACATTACAGGGGTTGTACAGGAGGGGACTACATGGGGGACTTACAGTACCACATATTTCTCCCATCAGGCACCGCTGCACGAGAGGGATCATCCTCCCAGAATGCACCGTTAAGGGGATTATCCCCTCGTGCAGCAGAACCGGCAATTCACACAAAAATCTACAGCTGGTACAATATACGGTGGATTTACACGAATGGACGTTCGGTAGATAGCTGGGGTCTGGGCGCATCATTCGTGAGATTGCCGCTCAGATCCCAGCTAAAATAACCGAACGCCGCACAGAAAACACATTTCTTTCAAAACACACGAAAAGAACCGATTGCTTTTAGTGAACCTGGTCCTGAAACTCCCGAACGTCCTGGAGGCTTAGCGGTGTTCGTGCCGTCGAATAACTGTTGGTAATGCTATGCGTTCGACGACACGGACCCGCTGAAGAACAAGGGATCCAAGATGGCCGACCGCCGCATGGTCGGTAGTCGAACGACGGCCACCCAGGAGAGCCTCTAATAACCGATTGCAACAATGTTGCAATCGGTTAACTAGCGCCACACGCCTCTAAGTGTGTGGGCTATTAGGGGGTATCGCATTCGTTTCACGAACGGCCCTCCAAAGTGCCGTTCGCGAAACGAACGGGAATCCCCATACAAACCGCCATTTGCATTCGGCGGAACAGATAGGTACAGGCAATGCAGGGACATACAGGTACAACGCATCTCTCTCCAGACTTATAGGCAACCCTTAAAGGCATAGTGTCCAGTTATAGTCCGAGTG